ATATATATATATATATATATATATATATATATATATATATATATATATATATATAGGAATCTCCATGAACTACTTGTAATCTTTTGAAATTTCCAGATCCTAAATCTGAGCGTTAATTCCAAAAAATTTATCATCCGACCATTTTCTTGCATTGTATAATGTATAATGTATAACGACCATTGTATAATGAAATGCTTTGTACTCGTGAATTACATTCCATTTCTCAACTGAAGATGGAAGAGAAGAAAGGACCTCTACGACTTGTATCCTTTCAGCGTCATCTTCAGCCGGTTCCAAATCTAAATCATCCATCTGCTCCTCATCACCAAACTCATCGGCATCCAATTCACCTTCATAGTCTTCGTCTTCTGCCATCTTTTGATTTGACCTGTAAAGTGTTCAACAGCTTAACGAATTCGTTACAACTACTACTTTGTCTTATCGTCCAATAACTTTCCCATATCACCATAATGAGGTCATATTCAGAAACTTATGTAGATCTACAAAAAGATACTTTTGTCGTGGAAATCGAAGAAGGACGAGAAACCAAGAGGAACGGAAGAGTGAACGGATAGAAACGAAAAAGAAAGCTCAGGACACTCCCGCACAAAATACCACCAGGGAAGCATCAATTGAATTACAAAACTAAAAGGCCATGCTGCTACAAGTTGTCGTCTAACTCTCTTCTTTCATGACATATCTTGCAATTTTTTCATTTTCCAAATTAGCGATTTGAAACTCCTGAGAGATATTGATCATATCTCATATTTCGGCTGGGCATTGTTGTATGTAGGATATATTGCTCAATTTTGTCCTGTTAACTGAAACATTATACATTTTCTCCAGTGGTATTTGCAAGGTAACAGTTAGCGCAGAATGGTTCGTACAAAGCAAACCGCAAGAAAATCATTGCCAGCCAGGGGAAAGTTAATGAAACTTCGTACAAAGCGAGAACGAATTAGTGGAGCTAAACATAAAGTTCGCGGCGATACTGCTGGCGAAAGCACTTCATTCATCAAGAAACGACGTTACAAGCCAGGTTAAATATAATAATGGCTTCCATATACCTTAGTGTGGACGTGGTGCTTTACAGCGAACCTGTTCTGAGATTGCTTTTTTTTTAAAACTAAATTTACTTTTTTCGTAACTTCTATTTAAAAAAATTATAGATTACTTGTAATTTCTGGAACACTCTCTCAAATTCTTAAGAATCCACCGATGATCAAGGAATTGTTAAAGTGGATTGTTGTTTAGGGTGGATTTTTCCAAGACTTTATGTAGAAAGTGTTTAAGATTTTCATATAGTTGAATATATATAGTGTGTGCTGTTTAAGGTATGCGTGCTTTGCAAGAGATACGGCGACTGCAAAGAACAGTTAATTTACTCATTCCACGTGCACCATTCCAACGTTTAGTACGTGAAATTGCAATGAATGTATCAGAGAAAAACGTCGATTTACGTTTTCAGTCTCTTGCAATATCGGCTCTGCAGGTAATTCTATTATTATTACAAAGAATGTGCATCCCTTTTTTGTGTACTTTTCAAATAAACATTGTGATTTAACGTAGATTTATACTGCATACGTTTGTTCAATAGGTCGGAAGGTGTCGCTTACATCATAGATAAAGTAAGTCTAAAGAAAACGCTGTAGGTTCCACAAGCCATTTCATAAGGTTGATATAACCTTACATTAACCTTATGAAATGACTTGTGAAACATGTCGCGTTTTTTCTCACTTTACAAATGGCGAACGTAGGGTACTTAACAGATGGTTATCATTAAAAAGAGTGAGTCTGCATACGCAGTTAGTAGTATCATATTTGTAGCTGCTAAGAAATGCCTGCTGCATACTCGGCGCTGCATCCTATGACATTCACACACGTGGTTTAATTAAAATTTTGGTAGGAGTTCTCCAAATTTCAATCTTCTAAACTTTAATAGTTTATTTTGCTGTATTTTTAGGAGGCTGCGGAGGTATATTTGACCTGCTTGTTCGAAGATACTAATTTGGCTGCTATTCATGCGAAACGTATCACTATTTTCCCCAAAGACATTCAGTTCGTACGCCGTCTTCGTGGCGAATTTGCTCGATTTGGGCGTTGATTATGATTTTATTTTGCTTTTTTCCATTCATATTTCTGAGAAACGACTTCTTCGAAGTTTTAGTTACTAGTAATGTTATCTAGATATGTAAGTTAGCTGCATATCTTTTCATTTAATTATTTTGTTTCTTAAAAGTCTCGAATTTTCACCATTTTTCAAATTAAAGATTATCCTTGTTATTTAACACCTTCTATTAAAAGATAATAAACGCTGCAACGGTGCTCAGAGTTTTTAATTTAAATCACAAAGTTGATGTTACAACCTTCCTCCTCTTAGCATTGCGGGAAGAATTTATTCTTTATCATAGTACAGTACTGTCATTCCCGTATGAGGCTTGATGAGCTTGCAATAGAGTACAAGTTTTCAAATAGACGTGAGTTTATTATCTGTTGCTCAAAACATTATCAAAACTAGCATTAATTATGTCAAGAATGTACTATTTACAATTAAAGGATGTATGAAAATGGTAATTGCGCAAAAGTGGTGGCGATTAAGTGGCGACATGGGAAATAACAGAATGAACAGTTTGCATGTGAATGAAGTGCAATGCCACCGATACTTTCCAAAAACTGGCAAATGAATATGAATTTGTAGAAGACAAAAGTCGAACTGACCAGCATAACCCTACCACCGTTATTAAGTCGACTAAGTGGACGACAGTTAAAGCAGTCGTGTTATCCGTCATCGTATTAGATCAGCCGTTTTCTTCACTCCCAAGGGAATTTTCATGTGATACCTTTGAGTTCCACAGGAATTTGCTAAGGACAATTTCTAAAACTGTACCGTTTGATAAACAGAAATAGTTCAATTTACTATCTTCAGTATATACCACAATGTTGATCCAATATATTGGAATAGTGTGTGCAATTATAACTGACAAAGATGTCATGTTTACCACTCTACAATATGCTCGGTTCCATTCTATCGAGCTAAGCTGCGTTCCTTGTGTCCGCCTTCTTCAAAATCATCTGGCCCAAAAGTCTCCAAAATTCATGTGAATATCGTAACCTACATTGCCCAGACCTTGAGCTATTTCAGTAAATCCCAGCGATCCGATTCATCGAATGACACGGGGCATTTCCTAGGTATTATGAAACTCACTAATTCGATGAGCTTCCTAACATGCCTACCCACAGCGTTGACAAAGCAGTAACTCAGGACGAGGGATATTCCAAGGAATCTGTCCCGGGAAGTATATCCGTTAACATCTTGGTACTTTTCCATGAGTTTTTTACTCTTCTGAAAGGTACGAATATCTCTGCCCGCTCATCGTGAAATAACCAGGAAAGAACCTGCTCCAATAAAGGGCGCACGTTGAGCAATGGATGATACCCTTCTATATGTTCACACATTATTCATTAGCTTGTAACATTGACCTGAGGTTCTAGCAAAGCCCTAGAATAGCAGGCTTGGTTGTCTCCATCATCCCTCAATATCGACAATCGATATATCCTACTCACCCTTACAATTTACTACTCTTCTCACAGATGATGTAATAATAGAGACTATTACAAAGGCATATAACAATAAAGAAGAGAGAAAAAAAGAGAGAGAGATCTCGGATACACTAGCACCAGCAAAAAGAGAAGCAGAGATGGAGAGGGATGTTGTAGTAAGATGCCGCCGCTAGGCACATAATTGCTGTTTGGTGCAGCGTTGTTGGTGCGGCTGAGGATAGAACGCGTCAGCGGTTTCACCGGGCTCGACTCGACTCGACCCGACCTGACCTGACCCGATTCGAATCATGCCCAAGTATTATAGCATGAACTGTTTATAGAGCTATACAGGACAACCCGTAATTTGAGAAAATTGCGTGATTGATTGTTAAAATTTGAAAAAAACGCGGCCATCTGTTCCGGAGTGTCGTTATTCTACTGTAATCAGTGAAGGAGCAAACATGGTCGAGTTGTGTGAGCTCAAATTAGTAGATCAGAATTTGGAATCACATTGGCCAGCTGACATTGATCAACACATCGCACAGCTTGATTTCCAGCGATCAACTGATGATGAGGATATAAGCCTATTCTCAAGCATGGCATTAGATCCTTCGATCATATCCACCGACAGCCTTGACATCGAAAAGCTCCATGCCCGATGCGAAGTTTGTCACTTCTCTTTTCGTTTTTGTCACTTTTTTTAATATTCCACTTTAACAATGAGAATACTTTGCAGTATCGTTTGTCTTGACCGTGGATGAATTGTACTATTTCCCTTCTATCGTAGAGGCGAAATGGGGAAAGCCATATCTCCTTTTCACTACTAAAAAGTAACTTCAGTTCTTAACTATTCTCTGTTTTTATTACTCTCTTCGACCAAGCTAAAAATTCTGTTTTGTTAGAGTTTGTATTGCTTAAAGGACTTTATTTCAGTTTTTTAGATGATTATTTTAAAAATAAAATAGGCTTCATTTTATATTCTAATTCTATGAGAAAGATATTATTTCAGTAGCCCGAGTATATATAGGTCAACAATGGGACTCTTAAGTTCAATTTGTTGTCGGCTTTGATAGGTCTTTCGTAATGTTGATATCATTGATAAAATACGGAGATTCTTTGGGGCTCCAAAAGTTACAAGAATAATTGTAACTTTTGGACATGCTTCAAGTGAGAAAGGCCCATACCAGCGACTTTAGTGTGACGAGTTGAAAAAATATGTATTTATCATACTTTTATTTTAAAATATTCCATCAAAATCTAAGCCATAAACATCCAAGTTATCAAACTTTGATCCGTTAATTTCGTGATCTTGAAGTAAACATGGGAATGAGTGTCGAGTGCTTTTAAATGCTTGAAGAAGGGAGGAAGGATGAGAGAAATCACAGCGATTATAGTTGGAAATATAAGGAGTTGAATGATTGCCTACCAGTCTTCTCATTTTATAAAATATCGCTTATAATCTATCTTCTGATTGTGACACTAAACTTGGTGGAATGGCATTGCACAGTTAAGAAAAGAAGTGCGATTTTATCTTAGTAAAGCGATAAACTAGACAAAATTCAGGGAAAAAGTTGTAAAGTAAAATATGAATGCGTAGATGAGGTTAAAAACATTTCCTTTAAATTTCAGTATATCTTTGATTAGTTTTACCATTTTTCTGGCTCATTTCTAGTTGAATTTTTGCAAAATTTCAGTACTATTCTACCATTGGTTTTAAATCGAAACAAGCAGCAAGCAAAGTTTTTATTAAAATTTGTTTTCACCTTTCAAAGAAGACACTTTTTTACTCATTTTGTGAAGCTTAAATCTAAGGTTAGGGAAAAATTTTTTTATATTTGATTACAAACTTTTTTAGGGGAAAGGAGAATATGTTTTTATTCATTTCTTTTATTTGTAATTCAGTTTGTTGTCTTACTTGCAATAATAAATGTAGCATTTTTGTTCACAGCTATTAGTTTATGGACTACGGTGAAGGGGGAAGTTTTCGTTTCATAATTGGAAGTGTTGCTTCCTACTGTTATAATTTAGTGTTTTGTTAATTTGCAGATCTCACAAATCAGACGTAAAGTTCCAGTTCGAATTTTAATTTCGTGTTTTTTAAATTTATATGTTCCTTTTGACTGTTCTCTGCTGGACTCTCCATCAAACCCTTCCGTAAAAGCTAGGTAAGAAATATTTTCAATCTTTATTAAATTTGCATAAGTGTTTCGACTCTTGTAACAAAACTTTTTCATTTGTAGATTATCAAAGCACCTCTAATTTTTTTCAGGATGTTTCATATTTTTTTCTTTATGTTCAAATTTCCATTAAATTTACACTCATCCATTCCATGTCAACTATTTTTAATACAAAATCCCCTTGTTGACCATATACGGTTTAGACTCGTAGAGATAGTAAATTTTTTGAAATTTTTACAGTAGTTTTTTGCAATGTCGTACATGATAAAGTCAGACCTCATGGTTTCTGCTTACTAACTATCAACAGCTCCAGCTGAGAGAATAACACATATTATTGAGCGTTTTTTTTATTAATGATTTGTCTTAGCTGATGTTGCTTAACATGAACTTCGTGTGGGATAAATTAGAAAACACTACTTTTGAAGGGAAAGAATCAGAAAAAGAGGGATGAAATGTACGATGTGTTTAAAATAATATATTTCTCATTACTATGAATATACGAAAAATGGAGCTGTAAATGATATTCTAAAATTCCCGTCTTCAGATTTTCGACATTTGTACATTTGTAGCTCTTGATTTTCTCTGATCTACTGATTACACTTGGTTCACTTTGCATTTGTTAAACTTATTCATAATAAGTTCCTGTGATCTTTTCCTGTGATTTTCGCGATGCGTTATTTCATATTACCCCCCCGACATTATGCCAGTTAAATTAGTTTTTAGTTGTTTGATTTGTGTATCGACCAGACCAGCACTCACACCGTTCTGTGTAGAAGATTAGTTTTTGCGGAAAACTAGTAAAGCTTTATCGAAATCAGTCTCTTTGAGTTAGATATGATCCTTAATTCATTTTCTCCTGCAGTTTCATTGTTTTAGAATAATTTGATTTATGCCGAGATACAATTCATATAGTTTTTCAAATTTCACATTGACTTTCATGAAAAGAATTCTAACATGGGAAAATTTTTATAAACTCAAGTTTTTGGTTGCTTTATTCGCCGAATTCTTGAAAAGATTTACGTATGGTAGTTAAAGTCATCTTCATATGATTGTCGGCCCCCTTCTCCTACTTCCATTTATTATAAGAAATGAGACCATTTTAATATTCCCTTTTTAGAAAAAAAGAAAGACAGTTCGACCAATTTGATTCTTACCTCGTCCTTTTTTCTCATTGCTATCAAAATTTTTCCCTCCATCACAGGTTTCACTTTGTTTTAATTTTAGTAAATAATACAGAGCACATTAAATGATAACACATAGAAAGCAGCTGATTAGACTGATGACTGCAATAAATCGTTTGCTGACTTATCTGAACGTTTCGAGTGGGGATTTTGACCACTGACTGAGTATTAATGAATCAGCCAAGATTTAGTGGATCACTTTTAGCAAGCAAGTGAAGGGGAAACAGTTAAGTAGTAATTACGCCATTGTTATAATTAATAGCACATTTTTAGCAGTTTTCAGAACCTATTGTTGTGTTTTCTTTAAAACTATCTAGCGTAATATTTGACTTCAAGTGCATCCCAAATGAACCAGAGGATTAACTCCTACTTTAAGCTGAAATCTATTTGAATTACTGAACTAGACAGAGCTATTTCTGATTTTTTCCAATGGAGATTTCTAAGACAAGTGGTTATAACATTTTCTGCATATAATTCAACTATTTCTGAACTATTTTACAGCAGAGATTCTGAAAACTATATATATGCATTTGAAGGTTTGCTTCCTCCTTGATCGAAAATTATGGTGTTCCTTTCCAAAAAAGTGAAATTACGTTTATAGTTTTGCTAAAAATTTTGAATTCACTCGGGAAAGATGATTAAGCATGATCACTTAGTTTTTTTATTTTTGGTCTAAGATTTAAAAGTATTTAACAATCCTTGGAGTGGGCATTTAATTGTTTCGATATATTTGTAGGGAAAATCAAGGTTTGTGGACCGAAATTTTATTGATAAATCGGCATAAAAATACAGTAAATCTAGTCGTTCTATTCATAATTTAGTTGGTCCTTCTTAACCTTATTCCTTCGATCTTGTTCGTGTTCCTGGTCCTGCCGCTGAGATAGTATCTCAGACCTTCGTCTCGTTGAGTAGCTGTAGCTGTTCAATTATTTGCTTGATCTTGTATCCATTGAATCGATGGTTAATCTCGTTGCTACACGATTCATGACAGCGTTGAATAAATCGATCCGAAACAGTTAATTGATGACAGTGAACACATCTACTTCCATAGCTACTTTCCCTACAATTTTTTCCTTTTTCATGGCCTTAATTATATGAACAATGGAATATAGACAATTTCCAGTGTGGCAGAAAGGGTTAGTTTTTCAGCTACATATGGACAGGAGGCTCGTGATACTCAGGAATAGAATAAACTGTTAAATGCCAATTTTAATTTCATTACAAAATCTACCACAAAATATTACAAAATCTTCTTATTCCTGATATCTTCTTTAGGTGAAAAAAAATGATTATAAATTAACGTTCGAGGATAGCGGCCAATGGACAAGTGGCAATTTCACTACATGGGGACGCATTCGAAGTACAGAGCCGTTGGACGAAAAAACGAATAGTTTGCCTGAATTGAGCAACAATCTGAAAGCAGCAACAAGCGAACAGCAACGACCGTCGAGTTTGGTTGCGACTTTTGTTGAACGACAGCCCGATTATGATTACCCAGATCTTTATGTGGGTGAGCTACATTTCATGTTTCATTTACTGCTTCTATTTTGCTTGTATATAAAAATAAGCTGATAATAAATCTGTGTATCACTTGTATATATGTTGAAAAAGAAGCTAATTATAAAAGGATAAATCTATAAGATTGTCCTGCAGGATGCCTCCATTGTCCGTGTCCTTTTTATCTATCCATGTGCCTTTGACTATAATATCATTAATGCAAAGTTTTTAAATCATTTTCGGTGTAAGAGAAAAGCTGCAGCTGAAGACGGAATGTAGTTGTTGCCATTCTTTTCTGTATTGCCTAATATATCAGCATTTCAAATATGTCACTCATTTTGCCGTAACGAGAAGAAAGCATCCATTTTAAAAATCTAATGCAAAAAGTTTCAGGCGGTGGGCGTTATGTAGATGTTAATGATAACGAAATCGGTTTTATATCGCAAAGTTCGGCAGCTGTGCAACGGGCGGACCGTTGGCGTGCTGCAAATCGTTTACCACCAAACCCTCCAATGAAACCTCGACGGACATTTGCGGACTTTCAAGCAACTCGATCGCCACATCTCGACTTTATGGTCTTGAACCACAATGTCAGTTCATTTACAAAATTAACATTTCTTTTAGGCAGTTTTCCGTATTTCCAAGAATTTCTAAGCTGTCCAGGTTTCTTTCACAGTTGTTTCTTTAGTCTCAACGGATTATTTTTTCCTTTTCCAAACTTTCCGGTTTCCTCACATTTGCATTATCTCTGTTTGCTGTTTTGTATGCGTTAAATATTTATGCGTACCCAAATGTCTTACGAATTGTTCTGTGTCGAAAGATTTGTGCTATGCACTTTGTGATTTTTTTGCACTACAATTCAGTAACATAGAAATAGTGCTAGAAATAAATTTATAAAATCAGAGATTAGAAAAGAAAAGTTATAGTTTCTGTCTTTATCGAAATTAACTGAAAGAATTTCAGGCGTAAGAAAAGGGAAGGTATTAATCGTGGATTTGGATAATGATAGAAGTGACCCAATTGACTTACGATTTTTATCTTTGTTCCTATATATTGAGTACTCTTTCTTTTCATCTGTTTTTCAGCGCGTCAGTCTATGTCATTTCTTATCAGGCGTTGGTCATCAGTATTAGGAGGAATTGAACATTCATAGAACAGTTTCGTTCCCACGAGTAGTTTCCATTTTTTTTTTTTTTTTCTATATAATGGTTTTGTTTGTATAGCTAACTGACTGAAAAATTCAAAAAGAATTCAAAAATTCGAAGAGTTTTTGCAATTTGGATATCAAGTTTTTGTTGGATATCAGTACTTATTCTACGTAAACTTTTTGAGGTAAATGCCTCTTTATTTCAAGAAAGGTTGTGGGGAGAAAATAGAATCGAAATACACTTTTCACTCCATGTTCCCTGGCTCAAATCCTTCCTAGTAATATTGTAAGGGAATCGGAATGCGCTTGTGAATCAGTTCATCAGGATTTGTGATTTTTTGTCGGAATGTATATTCCAGTCAACAATCATATTAGAATAGTCTTGTATAGAATCATAACAGAGAAGTGAGGACTGAATTTTATCAGTCTTCTACATTTTTAGCGTATTTCTTACTAGTGATGTAAGACTACTGTTCTAAGAAAATGTTGAGTATTATCTCTACTTTATTACATTTGTTCTACGTACTAAGGCTTTTTCCATATCCAAAGCGATGAGGTCGATACTCGAAGTTCGTGCAGATTGCGTAGTCAATAGTTTTTTCTTTTCCGGTTATATCTGAAGGGAACTATGAGAAAATTATGCTTCCCGATCATTATTTCATGACAAAATGAAGGCATTTTAGATTTTGTTGAGAAATCTCGATAAATTTCTCCATGTAATTCCATATTTCCGTTGGTCAGTTTGATTATTTCTTTTTTATCCAGTGAAAACCCCAAAACTCATATTGTGTAAAATGTGTAATATCAGTTATATCAACATTATTGTTTGCTTAATTTAGAACCATCTGGATCGCAATAATTTGAAATCGTCTGATCTCATTCCTTTCTGTTCTCTCTTGATTGTCCATTCATCTTGCTAAACTTCAACCCTTTCTGTTTTCGTTTGTAAATTACTGGTTTAAGAAGTTTAATTATTTTTTTCCTGAGATTTTTGAGATGCCATTGATACTATTGGTTTAACGAAGCCGTGTATACAGGGCTTCATTAATGGAATACATATCGAGCTGTTGGTTCTTACATTCAAACTAGATATTACTCGCACTTGCTTAGCTTAAGCTGTCAATAGGCCATAATTCTCATAATTTTGGGATTTCACCAGCGGATATAAATTACAAGAAAATTTTTACAGATGCCAAGTTTATGTCAGTCATCCATGTCAATAAATGAAATCATGGATAAATTGAAAGAAGGAGTGTTAGAGGATGAAAAATTTGATTTCTCATTGTTTAACGTTCTGGAGAAACGAGGCCCCGATTCTGGGCTGGGTAGCAGTGCTACAGCGAGCAGTGGCCCGTCACATATTGAGGATTGGCCATCGTTAGCTCTCCTTTTGCCCAAGTAAGTCTTTTCTTACAAACTTCTGCAGTGAAAGGAAAGAAATAGGGGCAAGGCAGGTTCTGCAGCATATGTTGATACTGCAGAAAGAATGACAAACCTTTGCTAGGACTATTGTTCATATTGCATTCGCTGGTGGAATTTGCAATACTCTATGTAAGACTGTTGCACTTCATAACATGGTATTGGAAAGAAGTGGCTTTGTTTATCTGTTCATAAATTTCCAAATCATTTTTTTTCAGACATGTTGCCGAGGCTTGTTCATTTTTCAAAGCAAATAGTCAGTTATTAACAGGATCAAATAATATTGAACGAATAATACCACGGAGGAACGAAACATGCCGAACATGTTTCAATGCTAGGAAAAGGCTCCATCCGCCTGTTTGGGCTCAGCCTGCTAAAACGCGACATGTTCTTTATGACTGCGTCATGAGTGAGGTTACTTCTTCACTATTTTTATATCCGGATTTGTGTTTTTGACTTTATTGGATCTATCTTTTTAATGCATCACAGGGAAAACTGCATGCGATTCACCCTTCTTTGCTTTGTATTTTCAACTGTCAAATTATAATTTATAAATCATATGAATGTTATTACGAGCATCAAAAGCCACTACGATTGTATGTTATCTGATTTACAGTGTTCTTATCAGAAAAGGCCATCTCGACTGGTACAGTGGAAACCTCATTTTGAGAGCCTTAGCCTAATTTCGTCTACACATGTCTTTCGGAACGATTGTAGTTATTTCTGAGTAACTATGCGAAAGTCGGCATCAATCAGCAACCTCGATTTGCAGATTGTTGATCGAAGTTCCTCAGCTCAAGATCGGTTTACGTCGCTTGGTCAACTGAGATTGCGAGCACAAGAGTTAAGCATTGTTGGTCTACCCATTTATAATGCCAAGAGAAAGCTCGTCGAAAAGGTTATTTAACCGAAAATTCGATTAATCAATTGATTTAGAGAAAAGTTGCAATCAAATTCATCTATTTACAATTAAATTCTAGTTTTGTTTTTCCTATTTAAGACAGCAAGAGGGAAGTCAACCGAAAATTATTCTCTTCATGTAAGTAATTTGAAGTGAGCCAGATTATTTTCTATTTTTCATAGTAAGATTTTGTCCTTTCTTTTATCAGATTTCATATGTAGGTCGTAGAAGGAGTAGCTGAAGTGGCACGAGGAGGTTCATCAACAAATCTCTGTTCCACATTGGAGATGCTGCTCGCTGATGGCCTAAAAATTAAACATCCTTGGGATATGATTGTTACTGTCACAGCACCTGGTATACCTTTGATTTGCAAAAATTTCAAGTTCCAATTGATTTCAAATTTCGAGAAAGAATATTTGTAAACTTTCAAGGATATTTTAGGTCCAGCAACGAACAATGTGTATTCACTGGTGAATAAGTTGGATAAAAGCGAGAAGCCTTTAAATTCTCGTGTTGAAACTTTCTTCAACGAATTGATAAAGTAAATTTTCCAAGTTTAATTTTAGAAAGAGTCAGGTCTTTCCCTAACGTTTACTGAGGTGATGCCTTTATTCGGTGCTTCCACTTCGTTTTATTCTTTTTGGTGTGACCCTATGATACATTAACTGGTATGGTCCTACTGAAGAATTATTTCAACGAGCTAAGTATCGCCCACTTCGGTTTCAGCGGGTGTGAGAAGGCTTGAACGCCTAAAAGCAACCTCATTTTTGTTAAAGAATTTTATGAATTCGATTTTTTTCAGATTAGGATCAGTTGATTGCTGGATGTGCTATGTGGTGCTAAAGGAGAATGTATTGGCGAGAATTTACTCTGACGGCGCTTTCATGTTACGGGCAAGTACTGCATATCGAAGTTTGTTATGGCGGCTACTAGAGAATTTGGAGCTGATCACACTTCTTGAGCATCGACCCTCGAGCAATTTTTCAATTCAGGAGTGGCCCAATACGATACTGTTGGAGGCTTCACGCCTTGCCAGTGATTCACGAGTGCCGAAAAGCTCCTCAATGCCTGCCCGTTTGTCAAATCAAAAACCAAACACTTACAGTGACGGCAGTCACACTAATTCAATACACTTCGTCTGTTCGAACAATGTACAATTACTGCGGCGAAGCCGAATTCCGCTACTCACTCAGCGTCCGGTGCGAACGAAATCAAACATTGAAGCTTGTTCTAATCGTTCCTCAAGATCGTCATCACGCGATGAAGCTACTTCAGCTATTGCAACGCCTCTATGTCAGCAGTTGCATTCGTACGGTGGCATCGATGCGGGTTGCTGCCTAGTGTCAGCCATTGATGACTTCAATGAACCCGGCATGCTCGAAGTATCAAGAGGCGAACGATTACGCATTTTAACAACGAGAGGTCAATTGGCGCGATGCCGTCGCTTGCGGCCACGTCATGATCGCGTTCTGCAGGGTTTGGTACCAACTTCCAATCTCACTGTTAATGGTTTCTAGTCATGTTTACCCCCTCCTCGCTGTTCTCATTGTTTCGTACATTGCTGATAAAAGTCTTCGTCTGAATTGTTTTGCGTGTGCGTACATCACATCTGGTGTAATTTCCGTATTTTTATGTGACATAATCTTATTTTTTAAAAATGTATTCCTCTAGAAAATCTGCATTTTCAAACTACGGACTCCAATCACATCGTATTCAAACAAAAATGTGTGCTAAAAGTAATTTGAATATTTCGAAGCATAAAGGCTATTTAGTCCTGTGCAGCTAGCAATGCGAGTAACGGGTATTATTTTCGTTAAATAATCACTCTTTATGTAGTCGACTACTTTTAATGATACCATTATTTGTACATTCATTATATCTACTTGCAATACATCCCATACTGTTGTATTTTATTCAATAAATAATGCCAAATATAGTCATGTTCTCCCATTTGCTTATAAAATATCAAAGTGAATTTACTAAAAGTAGGTGCGTGTCACCTGTTAACGTTCATTGTGAGTACTACGCCTTTCAAGTTCATTCTCTTCATACATTGGCACCATTTTGCTTGATTGTTGTCCAACTGCAGAATTACCAGCAACTTTCACGTCATAATAACGCATAAGATTACCGAGTACTTAGTTCCTATATACCTCTTGTCAACTCCCTCATAAAACAAGCGAACGCAGAGATGTCCCCGCAACCTCTTTGCGCAATAAAACCGCAACCTCTGAATCCACAGCAAAGTTTTGCAAGTATTATGGGAAAACAAACACGAGATTAAACACAATAGATGTACAACCGTTCTGTAGAAAAAGATTCTAATTTATTCCACAGGATAAATCAAATGCGAAAGATGCGCAACACTCAAGCACACTACAGAGAGCGTAACACGCACAACCAACGCATGACAGGAATCTACTAAACAATTCATTATCTCCCTACAGTTCCCTTTACTTGACATTTGCAACTGGAAAAAGACCAATATATAAGGAAACATGATTCGCGAGTGATGGGTGGAGCAGACCGTACCCTAACATATACAGCTGAGATGTTCTTACTTGCTCTACTTCACATGGCACTTCTTCCAATCAACGAGAGTAACTGTCCGAATCTTTAACTCATTTCGAAAGCAACAGATACGATAAAAAGCGTCAGTCCTGGCGTCATTTTTTCTGGTCTAAACACAAAAAAGCAGAGAATCAATTCACTTCAAAGAATAAGACCATCTCATATATTACATGAACCTACTGAGAAATTAACATTATTTTGACTACTTTTAATATAAACAGTTCATTAATTCTCTTCTTTAGCGATTAAAATCGAAACAGCTTCAGTCCTTTGTATTAAGTGTCGCCTAAAGGCAGTAATATGAAAATTTAAGATAATCTGTGCTTCTCTCGTTCAGATTCGTGTCATATCTATTTGACCACTTGAACATCATCATTCAGAACAGGATGGTCGAGAGCTCAACAACGATCGGCAGAAGCAGTTACTCTCACAAATGTTATAAAGGAGTCATGATCTTCCTAGATGGCTGGTATTTCAGCTTTCGCATAATATCTCATTCGAAAAAAAATTCTATTACAGGATTATTAAATCAATTAAATAAAAAAAAAAGAAACATGCACAGCACATACATTCGAAAAAAAAAACACACAGCTCCTCGTCTTCAATAACATAATAAAAGCAAAATATTAAGTAAAATTAATACTTAATCAGTAACGACGATTGTATTTATCATAAGAATCGTATTTATCATACTTATCATAAGTTGAAACATGTCCATGCGTATCAGTCATACCACCGCCTGACCAGTGATCATCTGCAATAACAAAATGGGTTATTAAATTTATTAAATGAAAGACAGGACGTTATGTAGTAAAGAGTCGGAACCATCAAAAGTAGCCGTCTCTTCTGTAAATAACACAAAAGAAAAAAAAATTTTTTTTTCAAAACAGAAGCACCTCTTGATGATGACCAATTACTGCTTCCCAAGCCGTGACTCCCATGGGCTTGAGAGGCAGGTGCGCCTGAAACCCATGCATCACCGTCATAGTCGCGCGATGATCCTACGTATGTCGAAGATGAACTTCCAACCGACCAGGATGTACCACCTCCCAAAGAACGAGAACTGGGGCCATAACCTAAAAAAAGAAATTAAGAGCGCACTCTAAGTATGTCAATATCAAAAATTTTTGGTTCACGAAACACATACTCTGCTCTCAGACACCACTCTCAAATTATTCTAGCCTGATCTCTCAAAGTATGGACGGCCTTGTGACTTTCTCCTGCCATCGGGTGGGGCAAAAAAATGGGAAAAAAAGTGCTATTTTTATGCAGTCACTTAACATGTGCTGTATCACAGCTTCAAATCTAATATTAAGATCGAAATAAAGAAATAACATTAACGTGAACAAGGACCAAAACTTGCATGTACCCACTTTAAACTCGTGTGTCTCAAAAAGTATGTAGTTTTACCAATTTAAATCGACATATATATCAATTTAGAAGACCAGGGAAAATTATGAATTGTAAAAAATTGTATACTATAGTTAGAAGCTGGGTGCGGAACTAATTTTTGTTTTGTGACTCAAAGATCACGTATTTTTTTAATCGCATTTTTGATCCATTTCTTCCAATAGGGATACATTATGCTTTCCTGAAGAGGGCTTTTCTGATTCAAGTACCGAGAAATGATATATGAAACTGTAGGGTTAAACTTAATATATCATATCAAATAATTGATTGGCCCTGATATAGCTAACTTGCTTCCGACTACATGGTGTGAAATACATTGGAAAAAAAAAAACAAACAAACCCGAATCTTTGTTATAAGAAGATGGTGCTACATCACGGGAATAAGTACTGGATGAGCTATACGTTCCTATGTCTCGGCTTCCATATCCAGTGTCACTGGAACGATGGCTGTTATAAGTTGTCGAATCGGGTCGATACGGATCACGTCCTGGAATTATCATTTATCCTTTTTTTTTTAAAATTATATTACACGAAAATGAAATAAAACTGATATGAATCCCTATGTAATACCAAAACCATCGATACAAAACTTACCCAGCTAAAATTGTTGTTTAAAGGAACTTAGATCGAGTAAAGTGCATAAAAAGTACCGTAACTGCTGGAAATTGTGGGATCACCACTACGTGAATATGAATGACTTTCACGACCATAACTGGGACCACTTTCACGAACGACGTTCGACGAACCATAGTCACGCGTACCTGAGATTTATTACATCAAACAAATTCATGAAATTCGTATATGAGCCCAAACCACAAAAGTGAAGCTGAGATGGGCTCCAAGCGATCAAAGGAAAGACAAATACTGGTTTGAAAAGAAAAAAGCAAAATAAAATAAAAAAAAAGGAAAAAACAACTAGGAATCAAATAAAACGATGAGATAAAAAGGGGTGTAATGAGACATAAATTATTTCAAAATCATGCTGAAGTACTATTAGCAAAGCATGTAATTTATAAAGCGATAAAAAAAACACATACTATGCCGGCTACGATCACGATTGCGCTCATGACTTCGTTCGCCAACAACACGCGATGAAGAGTGCGTGCTTACATGTCGTGATGAACTGTGTGCTTCTCGTCGATCCGGTAAAGAATTACGCGTAGAAGTGACACCACGATGCGATGACGATCGTTCCCGTGATCGCCTTGAATATTCGTTCCGCCTTTAAAAAAGGGAAATTGTTTGAAGCAATTTTCTATAATTCTCACGAAAGTATTGTCTTTGTGTTGGCTTTTTGCTCTAAGTGGTATCAGCATCACTATGCAAAGAAAAGCATGACGACTACCGCAAAGTTTTTGGTGTACCCAACTGTTTAGCACCTTCTCACTTAGACATCGAAATTCATCAGAAAAGAAATGAATGCGTAGTTAAAAGAAAATTCGCACCGAATCAAAACGTACTTCAATTCCTTTTCTGATTTGTACCTGGATGAATCCATATCACCGTATTCATGCGAGCGACGTGATGGTGGAGGCGCTCCTGAAGGTGACATCATTTGCACTGGTGTGGTGAGTGCAGCGATTTGGCGCAACTGTTGCAATTCGAGACGTTCCCGTTCAAACCGTTCACGTTCGAATTTCAGGCGCTCACGTTCACGTTGCAGTCTCAATTCTTGCTCCTTAAGTCGATGTTCTTCTTCCTTTTTACGCAACATTTCTATCATTTCACGCTTCGCCCATGAAGTAGGGGGCTCAACACGACGCGAGGAAACTTCACGGCGGACCATTCCGCGCAATATGCTACCACGACCAATACGACTCGAAAATGGTCGACTTCCCAAAGTCCTTCTTGAAGCAGCTGACGAATAACTAGGTTTACGAATTACATATGAGCGCCGCAAAGTGGAAGAAACTCGATCTGTTCGTTCAATTCTTTTACTGCTTCGAAACCGTGATGGCAGATGCGTGACCGAACGTTTGCTGCTGCTGAGCGTTGAGAACCTTGAGTCTGAAACAGTATAAACAAGTGCCCTACTTCTCATTTCGTCTTTTACACTGAATATTATAGCAGCGCACAGAAACTCCCTCGGCATGTGTTCACAGCTACAGAATCGTAATTTTCTGAGGCCCTCTTATCCCGGAAATACAATTTTCATGAGTGTCCAAAAAAACATTTTGGTCAGGAAAAACTTCATGAATGCGCCATTTGCACCTTTTCGGTAATGACTTTTCTTCAGTCTAAAAGCCAGGGAGCCACAACCTTCATCTGTTGCAAAAGAGTCGATTGTTTGGAAGGCATGATGATATTAAAAAGAAAGATCAACGCCCAAGCACATACCAGACAACCCCTCTCAGTAATGACAGCATCAAAAACTCCAAAAGTTTCTTATACTCCAGAATTAACAAAGTTTGGCTGCCAATTTCAGGAGCCTCAATCAAATTTGATCTCAAAATGATCATCTGCGTAAGGACCTCATCTCTCCGGTTGTTCAGCTTTCATACATAGAAAATTCTGTAAATATTACGTGTTGTGCTGGTAGACGGCGCTTTAACGGGTGATTTTTTCGTTTCCGACATTGCTTTCACTGCTTTCTGCTTTTCATTTCTTGTGGTATTGATTCCTTTACTGCCACTCGATGTACTACTTTTCGATTTGTCAGTGCTAGATGTATCTTTCTTCAATTTTTCGGCTGCCTTAGTGGTTGATAATTTCTCTTCTCCACTTTTCGAACAGGTATCGAAAGTAGCAGCGGACTTTCCGCTTTTGACGTCACCTGTCACGTTACATGCCGGTTTCTTGGGTATCGACTTAACAATAGGCATGTTGCAACGATCCGCCTAAATTTGTAAAATTTTGTACCATAAGGGCTTTGATAAAGCATTCTGCCCTCGTGAATTATCAACTCTGGCGTTCCGATGGATATCTCGATGTTTGTAGTTACATGAAGACAATGCTACTGTAACATTTTTGATTACGAACATTCAACTTTCTACTAAAAAACAGGACGGAGAGCAAATTATTGATTTCTGGTGATTGTTCGTAACAGCCTACATAAGCACGCACTGATCCAAATGTAACAGTTAGTTTTGTCCTCGAATTAAACATCTGTGCCATGCAGCAGGGTGATTTTCGATAATCAAAAACACTTCATTTCTGATTTTAAAGCAAACCACAGCATTTGCATATGAATCTGAAATCGTTTGTCACCTACTTACGTGGAACAAGAGAATTCAAAAAAAACATACTCGTTCCACTGTAATCGGGCGTCCTTTGATATTTGTTTTATGAAGTTTTTGAATGCAGAGGTCAGCTGCAGCAGAATCGACCATGGTGACAAATCCAAAGCATGCATTCGATGGCTGCTGTCGTCTCGTGAAGATTTTAGCGGTTAGCACACGGCCGTACTTCGCAAACAATGCCTAAAAACGCAAATTTAAAAATGTTTTCGATATATTTGATCGATTTACTTCCAGGAACCAACATATTCAGTACAGTTACATGGAACAAACAAATAATAAATGATAAAGCAAGCTCTATTCAAAATGATCCGCTAAAAAAAAACAAACGGAGAAAATCGAGAGACAAGTGTAAGGTTGATCTATTTCTTGTGCACATAAGTTTTTAAAAAAGGAAATAAAACTTGAAACGTCTCAGAATACCTTCAAATCAGCAGCTTTTGTGTTTGGACTGATACCTTTGATCCACAAAGAATTGTCGGACTTTTTAAGCATGGATGTCGCTGCGTGTGGAGCACCATCAATATGTTCCACTGGTGTAGATGCTACGGTTTCGACAGTCGACTTAAACAAATTTTCGCCGTCTTTAGAAACTTTCACTTCGACTTTTTCAGCTGTCTTACTTTCATTCTCTTTTTCTGTCATTTTGCTTCCAGTTTCTTTGCACTCCTCTGTTTCGCCTTCCTCCTCATTGATCTACAAAATTTTCTTGGACCTTTCCATAACCAAATCAAAGCGACTTGTCTGTTATCTAAATTCACATCCACAAAATGACTCTTTGAAAATTTTAAAATCCATGTTCTGAAACATTATTTGGTAGAATAGCGTAAGACTAGACACAGAAGCCATCAATAATGAAACAAGAACAAAATACCTGATCTGGCATTCTATCTGGCATTTCCTCATCTTCGTAGTTAACTTCATCTGCAATTTCTTTAACTATTTCCTCTTCTTCCGGTTGTTTAGTTTCCACTACTTCTTTGACAATGGAGGTATCTTCAACAACTTCATTTACTTCCATTCGTCCTTCGATAAGTTCATTTATACTGCGATCTTCTAAAAATTTACTGCAGCAGTAAAATATAGCTTAATATTAAAAAGTAGGCATAAATTCTGAACGCTCCAGAATATGCATTTTTAAGCATGGGACCGTTTTCAATGCGATAAGCTAAAAATTAAATAGAAAGTAATGATAATAATAAAGAGAAAAATAAGTTTAAACAAAAACTGAAACCTCGTTTTATGGTTGAAGTTTCTTCCATTTGATTGTGTTTTACTTTTTTACCTTCCACCAGTTCTTCGGATGATTCTTTTGCTGTCGTCAAATGATCCGCTTTTTCAACCGCACCATTACTGTCTTCAAATTCGGTAATTATGCCGATTGCAGTATCCGGTTCACTTGGACCTTCCCTTTTTATTTCCTGCTGCTCGTTTTCGTCATGACCGTTGGAGACTTCAATTCCGTGTTCAGAGAGAGCTAAAAGAAAAGTAAATGTGGTAGAATCATGGGAATAATCAGAAGGGAAAGTTGATTACAGGTATTAAAAGCAAATGATTATTAACGAAAATGAAGAATGATAAGCTCTAACTCCCGTGAGTGCTACAGTTGAACTGACTTTCTCTCAGTGTCTCGCTGAAGGAACTTTTCGAGGGAGTGGTCAGAGATTTGCCATATTCATTAACGACAAACTTGTAAATCTTTGGATCGTGTCCTTCTTCTCGAAGTGCCTTGAAATGAAACAACTTATGAAACAACACTTATGCAAAGAAGTCAGACAGTGATAAGTGAAATTTATAAAGGCACGCCTGACACTCTTCGGAATGAAAACTGATGTTTGTGGTATGTGGTATACTTGAACAAAATTATTGTTTTATTACAACAAGGTTATAAAAAGCTATTTCGTTGTTATAACTCAATATATTAGTTTGCTTTGTGTAGTTATGGCTTGCTCAGGAAGTTTACTTTCAATTTGTTGGCGGTTTATTAATGTAACCTAATACTTCAAACGAAGTGGTAGTATATTTGCCGACTCTATGCATAATGTTTACTATACTCAAAATCGATATTCGTATGTATCTCATCTTTGTTGCTTGCAACAAAGATACATATGGATTTGATGCAGCATCTTTCAATGCCGCACTGTCGCAGCAGCAATACATTAATCTCTTAAAAGACGTTCACGATGTCAAACACAAAAAGTCATTCTAGCTGTAACTTGGCTTTGGGTGATTTGTAATACCTAACTTCAAACGACAATAATACAGCCTAATGGTCAAGCTGATTCTGTCTATGAATTGAAATATAAAGCATTGTGCATCGTTCATTTCAACTCAAAAAATATTAGGACCAAAAAATTCCGCCCTTTTTGTAAATGCAGAAACAAACCTCCTCTAAGCGTTCTACCAATGCTAGTTTGATCCCACTTTTGTCTAGTCCACGCTTTTCTAATTCTTGCTTAAGCTCGAAAACACGCAGCTCACTAAGTGTCATCGTTTTGCTTTGTGATGCTGCAACTGGTGTTGCTGCCATTTTCGATGGCTGAAAGAAGCTGAAAAACCGAAGATGAGTCAACTCTGATGCAAAAGAAAACCCACGTGAATCATGAAAATGGTAGGACGAAAAGACCAGCTGTAACCAGTGACAATAAATAAAAATTCTGGAAACAAGTATGATGCTTGTATTTAGAACATATCCATCAAATCGAATTCATAGGTGCCGGATCACTTCTTCCTTTTTTTCTTTAAATTTGTGAAATCTTAATAGAGTGGAGCAGAGAATTTCAGCATCTAATTTATACTTGTCTACAAAAATTTTCACCCTTCCAACCTATCCTAACCATAATATTAATCTGTACACTTGGTTACTATGCTGAGGATATCTATTCCGCTTCAATTTCTTCATTTCCTTTAGTTATTCGATTCAAACTACTTTTGTTACTTCGAAAAAACATTGGTAGAGAAAGGAGAATTAGTGAAAATTTAACTTCATACAATAATCACCGGAGTTGCGGAGTTGCCGATTATAGCCTACAACAAATTACCACAACTCACATTCTATGACTCGTCAATGCATTTATCCATTCATGGTAACCATTGTACATTCATTACTAATTGCTTTAACGATAACAACGTATGATGAAAACATATGAACCTGACTTCACTAATTCATACGAATGGATAAACATGCCAACGAAGAAATTACAATACATTAAAGGGTATAACAAGATGAATCATACCAAACATCACTATATCCAAGTGTCAGGCATTCCCACATCAACCCCCCCTCCCAAGCCTACAACTGACTAGTCCAATAGTAATCAGGAATCATTCATCACACAGCAAACACAAACCGACACAGTAACATCAATAGTCCGTGTAAAACAAAGATTGTTTGTTACAGCTCTATAATGGCTTTTTTCATCTCCACTCGTATTGATTAAAGCCGGGACATAGTCGATCATGGCATAGCGGGAACAAAGTCGTTTGCGGAAGATAGGATTTTGCAAGTGACATTCAATATGTTGAGTAACTGCTTGAATGAAAGAGATTTTCTTCAGTAAGAAAATTTCATGAGATCAAAATGTAATTATATATTTGCAGAAGGCCTACATAAAGGAAATGATCGTTCATGGTCAACAGGTACAGCTTATTTGTTACCATTTTACAAAACACACGTTCACTGTCCCTTCAATATATTAGTCGGAAAAAGTCTCTGCTTGTCAAGCGTAACACGTAATCTGCGTTGGCTCACAATAATAAGGAGCACACAAAGAGAAGACGTGAACGAAGGAACATGCGTTTTTAACGAGGAGAATTTCTATCAAAATGATGGGAACAACGATGGTAATTACATCGTCAAACAATAAAACCGATGAAGCTCACATCTTATCTAAGTAAGACAGTATATTGCTTATTTTTATTAAGGTTATATTTTATATTAAGGTTATACATTAGGCTTATTTTATTAACATTATTTTAACCTTATAACTTCAGGATGTCCTGGTTCTTTAGGATATACGCATTGCCCTTCATCAAGTATGACATTGAAATAAGATCAAATCCTTTTAGGTGTTGATCCTAACAATTTCTAAAAAGATCCTCTGTCTCATGATACCAATTATAAGGAGTAAAAATACGGCTCATATCCCCTAAGATAACATTCGTAATAATTAAGAATACAATATTATTGGTATTAGTGCCAAATTCACTCGTCAAATATTCAGTGTTTTACTGCTTATCAGAGCTTTAAATTTGATGAGCATAACGTTTTCTAACATCTTTTGTCATTACCACACAACATTAATCGATTTCCAAAGTAATGAGCCTAAAAGCATATTGTACAAACTTGAAACAAATTATCTAATGTAAGATTTATAAAGACTGAACTCATGAGAGAATCTGAAAACTTGAAATATACAACTTGAAGATGCAATAATAGAAGAACAAGTCAAACAATTCACTTAATGATGATTACAGTGATTATTACAGCAGTCGAACGATGTCGACTTGAAGTAATGCTAATAATAAAATCAAATGAGTAGATGGAGATATAATGAACACAAAAGGAACAAATTAAGCTTCGAAATTGTTCATGTTAGACTTAATGCTTTTTAAATGAACTGTAAAATAAGTTTTATCAGCTATAAGTGTTGTTGGCCGACTCTATTTAAGGGAAGTTACGTTTCCGAGACCAAGTTCCACATTATCGCTAAAGTTTTTTCAGAAGCACTCACTAATCAAACTTCTACCCCAAAGAAGGAGAACGGAACTACATATTCCCTAATATCCTCATAAATCAAGCGCTAATGGAAAATATTATCGAACGCCTGACGTCTCGAACCGTAATGTGACAAATTGTAAGTCTTCAGCAGATCTTCATAAACATATGCAGAATGAAAAAAGTTGAAATGAATGTGTGAGTCAGTCAACAACTGAAATTAAGGAACTACTTTGTAATACACCAAAGAAATGATTAATTACCAACACTCCTATCTGTAAAGTAGCCGAAGGTTTATCTTTTTGCCACAATCTGGCCAAGCAGATTAGTTAATGATAAGGGTTTGTCGTTTTTAAAGAATAAGGGATTGGCTTTTCGAAAATTGCTTCAACTTTTCAGTAAAACTTTTTAGTCCTCATTAAATTTACACTGTAAAAAAATATGTAATCAGCTCTTTAGTCTGTTCAGCGTTATTTCCTCCAACAACTTTCAATTCGCACCCTTCAAAGTGGCAAGAAAATTTAGAAAAATTCATTTGCTTAAAGTTTTCCAATTAAAACTGTACACCACAATTAGTAAGCAGACTAGGTATGGACTAATCATTACAGAGATAACACAACAACTGCAACATTTCTGATATTTTCTATTTTTGACAGTGAAAAGAGGGAGTAAACGAAATTAAAATCTAAATTTATGCATCGAAAAGGCAAGATGCAGTTGTGGCAAAAGAATGGAGTTAATAGAAGGTCAGACCTTATACTGTACTTATTATTAAAAGATCGTTATATATTATATGTCAAAGCTCACAATATAAAGGACTGGTATAAAGCGGAAAACTGATATAAATTTTCAGAAAAAAGCATTGAGGAGACCTTTAAGTCAACAACCAGTTCATCTTTCAACATCATTTACATATTACATGGTTATCGTAACAAGTCTACATATGTTTTATCTGTTTTTCATGGATTTACAACAATGATTAATGGAAGATTCAAAATCAATAAAATTCAGCGGCAAGACGATACGAATGATAGTGAACGCAGTGATAGTCCTAGTAATGAAAATGCTCCAAATCACATATAAGGTATAACACAAGGCAAATCATAAAACCGACTGCTGAAAAAATAGGATAAGCGAAGCAAATAATCTGTTTGTAGCCTATTTTATTTAAATGACAACTGAACTCAAAACTGACAGAAATTTAAGGAGGCCTTTTCTGTTATGGAATCTGATAGCCTCACATTTTCGCTTTCCTTCTCTGCAAACTTTTATCATGCTGTTTAATTTTCAAAAAAAAAAATAACTGAGATATAAAGATACATTCACTAGAGTATAAAAGAGCATAAAAGAGCAAAAATTCGACCACATATTCGAATTTGCAACAAGCATATAAACAACAAATTGCACTTGCTTATTTATCTTCGCACTTCTCATTCCTTTCTCCTGCTTCAGGTTCTTCAACAGAAAGAACAAATTTAGTAATAACATCCGTAAATTCATAGGGTTTTTCGGCATGAACCCAATGTGCTGCATTAGGAATTACGGAAAATTGTGTATTTGGAAAATGCTTCAAAATTAGAGAATGATCATTAGGCGTAACATATTTTGAAATACCGCCCGAAACAAACAAGCATCTTCCATTATACATACCCTTATTCTCTATACCAGAGCTATCACTAATTTCTCGAATATGACATTCAATGGAGTCCAAATTTAACCGCCAACTATACGTGCGTTGATCTGTAGATACCAAATTTGTCAACAAAAATAGCCGTGTCATTCTATCGGTAATTGTTGTCGCCAGTTGTTGTTCAATTTTAACACGATCACAAGTCAAGTCGGTAGATTTCATAGCTTCGATGATTCTTGAAAAAGATTCAGAAAAATTGTATGCCTTTGGAGCTATGTCTTCTACAATCAGCGATTTCAGCCGTACGTCGCTATCGTCCATCAAGGCAACACGCATAGCTGTTTTGCCACCCATTGAATGACCAAGAAGATGAACTTTTGAAAATCCTCCTATCTGTTGAGGCAATACTTCGTCGATAAAGTTTCGCACGTCATCTGCCATCTCAGCGTAAGTCATTGCAGGATGCCACGGGGAATCGCCTGAAAAATGATACGCCATTATTAATCAGTAACTATACAATGATAACTTCTACTCGTCCAAGATAGTGCTCCTGTTATGAAGAGAATTTGTTCTAAATATAAATGAGACTACGGAAAGTTACACGCCAGGAGAGATGTCATTTAATTAAAGGAACTAAATGAAAATAACCTATCAATTCTTCTACAGTTTACTGAAACGAAAAAAAAATTCTTTGGAAAACTTCATCGAGTGAAAATCAAATTGTAATTGTAAATTGTGGATTTTTGGACGTAGCGGAAATTGTAAAGAATTTAGAAATGATTGGTGACAATTGTCGTGAGAAAATAAAAGAAAGGGAGTTAAGAAGGTGAGGTAGATTGTTATTGTTCGTTGTAGAAGTTGTTATAATTTTAAAGAATGACTTACAGTGTATCGGTTCGTTTTGTGTTCGAAACGTACAACAGATTATCCTTTATTATCGTCTGGATACCAAATACAGTAAAGATAGGTTCAAATAATTCCAATTACAATAGAATGACTTCCAGGGTAAAGCCAGTAGAATAATGAGATTTTGTAAGGATTAATAGATTGGGAGAGAAAAATAAAGAGCGTTTGTGTGAACCTGAGTATCGACAGATGGGATTTTTGCAACAATGAATAATTCTTAGGTTTTCTTATGTTTATATAAGGAGTGCGTAAGGAGAAAGGAAAGAAATACGATGTTTAACAGATATTTAGAAATAAACATGTTGGATATAAACATGTTTATAAGATTAGATATTTCTACACTATGCCCATCCATGTTTATAAGATTCGTTGTCATCCAGATGTGCGCAAATCTCAACATCAGATAAAGCTTCTTTAGACGATTTGAAGATTAGATAGTTGACTCATGACCTTAGGCATGAGAGAGAAAAAACAGATGTAAATGGAAACTATTTGAATGAATAATTTCATGACACAATTATTTCGGTTTTTACGACAACAATTTCAATTCAATATTTCTAGCTGTTTGGATGTTTCCGCCAATAAGTGTATAAAATTCGTCCTGATAATCCTAATTTAGTGTATTTGCTTACCAAGCTGTTGTTCGGTCTTTGCCTCCAAGAATATAGCCCATACTTTCTTCGAAAAGATCTATTCCCTACTTTGCTTGCTTAAAATATACCTATCGACGTATAAAAGCCAGTATTAATCAAACGAGAGGAATGAAATATATCAGTTTCTGACTTATCAGAACCAAAAAAACTCAAACAAGCTAACGTAACTTGATACGTACATTTAACAGTAAATGTATTGATACTATTTTCGATTAGCATTTTAAAAATCAAATCTATTCGGGTAGACATTTAGTAAAGAGATTATTCTAATAGTAAATGAATTGATTGATATGTCTCATAAGTTTATTCCTATGCGATAAATATGCTGAAATCAATATTAAGTTAATGAGAACTTTTCCGCAAGCTTGAACTAAAATTAAGGTAATTGTGGCCAACATGACAATATGTTCGTCTTCAGCAATTCGTAAGGACAGCTCGATAAATTTTACTGCACCTTTAAAAATTTGTTTAGAAAGCTACAAATATTTATGTGACAGCACCAAAAAGCTTGTGGCCACAGTTAAAGTGTCAACCAAAAGGAACAAACTTATTTCACAAAAAAAGGGATAAATAAAAACAAAACTATTCCATAAATAAATAAAATTATTAGTAAAATAACCCTATTTTATAAGTAATATTATTTTACATAAAATTATTTCAGAAATAATTTTAACCAATGGCTCAATTCCCATTCCCAGCAAGAACTCATCAAAACTAACCGTGATTCCGTAAGTCCAATGTAAATATAACAGTTCTCAAAAGTTGATGCAGATTATTTGCAATCGATTTCCAATTCGTTTTATGTCCAAATAATCCATGTAAAATGACGATTGGTGATACTTGGCATTCGACCTCTGCTTGACTACCGAATTTTTCGAATGATAACGGAATGGGACGTGAAGACATTAGGCGGCAGATTTCTACTAACTGACTCCATTTGTACTGTCGCAATAAGTTACACATTCCTAATCCAACCATATTGTTTAGACTATTTTGTAGAATCAACAGTTTAGTTGCTCATACCTCAAATCGTATCATAATTGGATCCTTTTCAAGTTCAGTATTAAAAAGCAGCTAACACAAAAACAGCTAACCCAGAAGCAACTACCTCCCACCCTGCACTATTCACAACGATTCTCATCTTAAATGTAGTTTCCCTGTTATTCTAAGATTCAATCCAAACTTATATCATTTGATGGAGTTTTTCCAAATTCAGATCTTTCGATAAACAGTACATTCAAAGCAATACAGCAATGTTCTGAGAGAAAAAATATCAGTATTTGGAAGTTTATTTTTCACGTATATACTAAGTAATTGAAACCAGTGAAAAGTGAAATTCAACGAAAGAACTGCAACTAATAAAAACAGAAAGCACCCACTCATAATCATAAATCAAACAGAATACCGCAGAATTGTCAATTCTATAACTACCTTAAACATGTAAGATACATTGAAATGGATCGGAGACATCACATTAAGGACGCAGGATACTTCTAAGACAGCATTTCTCCGCCAAGTACAACTAGCTGCTTACAGACATCATTTCAACCTTACATTTCCGGATCTAATTTGAGCAAAAAAAAAAAAGACTAAATATTTGTTGAAAAAGCTTGCAATCCAAGCATAAAAGGATTACTTTGGCTGTACAATTTCCATAATCCTCTCCCTTCCTCTTTCTTTTCCGGTTCTATAATCTGAATTCATCGCCATAGTCAGACACCGTCATCTTATAAATACTATCTGCTACTCGTCATCTGAACCGTAAATACTCATTTAAGAAACCACTGACAATACATTTCAGTGACGACATTTCAGTATGATGTTTCTATTATTCAAATAGAACTTGGAAGTAAAAAGAAAAATGAAAAATTGAAGTTTTGAGAAAAACTGTTAAAAAGTAGCAGTGGTCAAATGGATGAAATCACTGGAAACTGGTGTGCATGACCTCAGCACTTGATAATCATGCGTAAATAATATTTATAAATACGTAAGCTGCTTGACACTAGTACAAATGAAATCCCGTATGGATCAGCTACACTTAAAATCATCGGATTTCAACAAAAAAATGATGTACATAATCCAATGGGAATACATTTTTCCTCCGAGAAATTTCTCATTTGTATATCTCTGAAAATTCAAATATCATAAAGCTAAAAAACAGAAATACAAATGTAGTATTAACACTCGTCCAGTGGACATTCGATCAAAAACATACAAAATGCAACAGTGCATACAAATTGTTACACTAAATTTACATTTAAATACTTGAATAGCTTTAGAGCAATCCTAGACAATAGGTATATGTTCATATTGTGCGTTTCTATTCAGGACCAATGTTTGCATAAATATTCCAAAACTTGACTAACTGCCAGTTTTCAAGTATTAAACTATGATACTTATATACTTATAAATTGCTGAATAAACGGTCTTTTTTTCAAGTTTTATACTCATCCTAAGATTTGAAACGACATTCATTTTCCTCTAATCTCGAGTGGTACGAAATGAAATCAAAACATATTTTTGCATAAAAAGTATAAATTCTAAGTTATTTCATAGCAACAGGTCGATGATTAACATCGGGCTCGAAGGGCAGGTGCCGTATTGTAGAAGAGCCTTCTTGACTGGCAATCGAATCAACAGGATGACCTGGAATTGTTACTGACATCGACGAGTCAGCTGCAGACAATTCATCAGCTAATGATCGATTGGAGCCGTTCCGTTGCAATACAGACAACAATTTGGGGTTTGTTGTAGCTAACTTCTGCAAAGTCAAGAAGTTTTTAAGAGCATTTAAATTTTTGAGAGCTCCAAGTTATTTAAAATCTTCTATAAATACTTCGGCAAATCACTGCCTTTCTCTCTCTGTCTTACTACATTACATCTATGACTCGTCTATACAATACAGCTAAGGTGGTTAAAATCAGGCAAGAGAGGTGATTAAAATTAGGTAGTTAAAAAAAAAAACAAAAATAAAAACGAAAATAACCTGCAGAACAGAAGCCGTAGTATGACTAAGAGCATTTTTCATTGGCGTATATTCACTCGACAAAGGAACATCAGCCTTATTATGTTTTAAAGCTTCAATCTATAATATAATAAATGATCAGTGACTACATGATTTGTTGCCTATATTTTCTTTTTCATTTTCTTCTTTGTACAAGCTCTCGTTATGTTATCAGAAATATTTATTCGTTCGGCATCTACTTTATTGTTCAACAGATGCCTCACCGACAATATAACCAGCAGACTGAAATAAATGACATCGTCAAGAGCAAAATGATTAACATCCCTTCGCCAAGCAGTTTCAGGAGAAATCACACTGCCTTCTGATAATTTTTGTATCCTGATTTCCGTGAGTTAGATTTATCCTTAATTCAATTCTCAAGCGAAGGATTATAACAAGAACGAAAAGAGCTCACCTCAGAATTCTCAATATGCAGAGCTGGGGGGACTACAGACACTGAAGGCGCACCCCCGCGTGTTCGACTCATAATAGAAGCCAACTTGGCTTTTCGCATTTCACGCTCACGTTGTTCTCTTTCCAGAAATCCGTCCTGAATTCGACGTCTTTCTTCCATTGAATTTTTTTCTTCTGCCAATTTCAAGTCTTCTGCTTCCAATCCATCAGCCTTCAGCGTTGAATTGTTCTGAGCCGATGATCCAATCTCTTCTTTGGCAAGGTTAATGTTTGCTTCAGCGACAGAAACACCGCTTTCTTTCTTATCTTCTGCTATTTCGTAAGGTTTCTGAATGGTTATTTCGTCCTGCATACAACCTCGTCCAGTTTCAGGAAAGCGCTCATCTATAACTGATTCTTTTTGTACGAATTCCTGAAACAGAAACAATGGCACTTACTGGAATCAAAATTAGTTACTTTATCTTTTCTATTTCAAAAATCTCAAAAGAAAAAAAACCAACTACAAATCTCTTAAGGATTTGCTCTGAATTTTCTACTGAAGAACAAACCTCCGCTGTGCTTTCTATATTTCCTTGCTCTTCATCAACAAGTTTAGAATGCGATGAATCTGGACATACTGTGACAGGATCATCATGATCTATTTCTGATATTTCCGTAAAACTTTGTATTTCTATTTGGGACTCTTTTAGAACACCATTTCCCTTCTGCTGCTCCTTATGCATTTCTGTTTCCTGATCAACGACCATATCAACCATCGAAACTAGCGCTGCAGTATCCGTCTTTGCCCCACTCACAGATTTATCTTCTTTTTCGCATGAAAGGTCATGCAGAGGAGCAGCTGTGGTTTCTGTTGCGCAACCTAGTGCACTTTCAGGAATTACCTTTCCTTCCATATCAGCATTACTTTCCCGCATATCACCTCTCACAACTTCAGAAGCATAGTCGGTAGTTTCCATCCTTTCTTTCTCATCAGAAACTTCCACCATAACACATTTCCCATCTAACTTTTTAATTCCATTGACATTAGGAACCGGATTTACGATTTCTTTTATATTTATGACATTTTTAGCTCCTGTAGTAGCTATGTCATATTGAGCTTTGATATCGTCGTTCCCCAGAGTTAAAACTGTTTCATTCATTTGATCACCAGATGGTTTTTGCAGTATAGCTTGAGCCTTGGTTTTGTTATATGTTTTTAGTCCAGTTGACTTATGTACTCCTCTTGCCACAGGCTTAGTTTTCAAAGTAATTTTCGCTTCCGATGATCTGAAATGAAAAATAGCTCTCAAATGCCTAAAAATTAATTTTAAAAAACCAAATGCAAGGATTACATCAGTAATTGGCAATACAAAATTAGTAGAATGCTTACGTAGATTGTACAATTGGAGGTTTCTGTCCATAAAGTGGAGGCACATGTTGTTGAACAAGGTTTTTTGCCCTAATCGGCACTTCATTCACTACAGGTGATGCTGCCTTTGTAGCACTTAGTGGAGCTTGTACCGCAGATTGACGATGAACTATAAAAGTTTTTTGATACATCTACTTATTGTTGTAGATAGTATCCGAAATCACACTCCTCTCCATCCAAAGATAATCGACATCGTTGGTTAGAAAAAACAGTGCAATAAGAATTACTTCAACGAACATGACCTATCAAAATGAAGTCCACAATATTTACTGCTTACTGTAACTGTGCTAACTTTAATAATTTAACGAATACGAGTTGTCCACAAATGTATAAGACATAATACCACGCGCAAATACGAAAAGAATTTCTGTGTCATAAGTTGGACTGACTGCAAAAATACATGAATGTTACTGTCTTTATATTAACACCAGATCACGCACCAATGGTCGTCAACAAGAATTAGGAGAATCAGCGACATGAACTATCTCTGAATATGTAAACTCCAAATGCAACTTAAAAAAATGAAATGTAAAACTTCAACAGATTGAAACTGTCTAACATACACGCACGAGTGAAATACAAATAGTGCAAAGGAAAAAAATACTGGATGTTTGGTTGAATTTCGTAGTCTTGATCGGCTTCGGTGTAATCAACATAGACTGCGTCATGAAATTTGAAGTACGCTTATGGCGTGTCTTCAGCTCCGGTCGAGCTACATATAGGCTTTCTGTCATTGACGCTCCGGTATAATGACGTGAATCATAAGGTGGAGTCAGTGTTGCATGGCTAGACGAACCAGACGCTGCAGTTGGACTACGTTCAGATGGGATGAGCTTGCGATCATATACCTGAAGAAAAAAAAAAAAAAACTTTAAAGATGAGCTGAGCTATTCAGAAAAAAAAAATAGGAATAGAGCTACTCAAAGAATTTTCAGTAATCTGAAATGTGAAACCTTTTGCTCTCTAGTAAGTTGGGTCAGATATTCCAGTTCACGAGGCGTGCTGCTACCAAACGCATATACTGGTCGCGATTTATGTTGTACTGTAAGACGTGACGCCAATGCATGCACTTTCGCTAACATAGCCTAAAAATGAAATGTTAAAAATATAAGATTATATTATAGTAATATCAGGGACCGCAACTCAGAAATTCGTCGGAATCCGGTAAGTTAATAGATGGTTTAAAAACTAATTTTAATTACTTCTTTCTTCTCTTTCTCCTTTTCAGCCAAAATTTGAGTGCGACGATCCAAAACCGCTTTTGCTCGTAACATTTCCCGTTGCTGAGCTTCCCGCTGTTTCAATAGATGCTATAAAATGAAACGTGAAAAGATGCAAAACGCCAGTGTTATGTACAATTTATGTTAACCAAATATCACATTCTAATTTAGATCGAATGTTTCTTAAGCTACAAAAACGCACTAACAATGGCAATCACCGGAATCTCTGTTCTGCCACTAAAAATAATGCAAAAAAACAACGAATGATGAAGAAATACTAAATATATATGTTAACACACAAGCCTACCCCTTTTTTCTGAGCGACAGCCCGCGCCATTTTTTCATCGTGCAATTTCCTTGCCAATCTCTGCCTATAAAACAATATGAAAGGGATTATATCGTTTATAGACTCATTCTCGACAAATCACTCGCTCTCTGCCTGCTTCATCGACATTGTTTCATCCAAATGGTCGCCGTACAAAAAATATAATACAATTGCTCGCAAGATTTTTTCCCGAATTTTTCAAGAAAATATGTTGATTCTATCTCTCAGTTATAATTGTAAAAAATAAAATATTTCATTTGCCATCAGTCACTGTATTTTATCTGTTGCTGTTCAATATATTTGACGCATTTAGTATGCCAAAAGAAAAACGATACAAAACTTACAAATAAAAATGAACAAATTCTAATCACTGACTGGACTTAATTCTAATTTCATTTGAAATTACCAAGTGGTAAATTTCAAGTTTTCAAACGCGAACTGTATTACATTTAAAATAGAAAAATTCGAAATAAAGATTAAAACGTCGTCTTACACAGCCAATAGATATCTCTTTTCGAAATGCCAATTCCCTACAAATCTTACAAAAAAAAAAAAAAGAAACCTCTGTTCGATTTCTTCTTTTATAGCTGCTCGTCGTTTGGCCACTTCTTCAGCATTATCCTTCCGAGCTGAAAAAATGTAGCTGGAGCGACTCAATACTGCGTTCCGAAGAGCGTCACCCATCGCCCACTTTTACCTTAAAATTTACCACCCGATATGCATCCAAAAAAACATCTGATTAACAATGTCATTACAACAGCATGTAATTTAGGACGATGCAATGTTTTTCAAAATGTCAGCGCAATGACTGTTAATTTAAAAAAATATCCATTATACCTACTGATCAGATCAAATGTATTACCTGCAGCCTAATTTAGGCAAACTCAAGTTCTTATAGGTGACTGGGTTCGCATGAAAACAGTAAAGAGAATTGTAAAAGTGTGCGGAACACTAAACTTCCTCAATCGACCATATTCAATTGAATTACAACCACATAACTCTCTAATAAACATAAACAGATCTATTAGCAGCAATATGCACAATACCTCCTCAATAACTTTGAATGATTTAGTTCTGACATGACATAGCCAATAGTTACAACGAGAAGCATGACGCATAACAGAAGTAGAGCAAGGATAATATGCCACGTAGAATATTTCTTACATTTTGAAAAATAATTTCATGAATCCATTTCAACAATAAAAAGTGCGGTCATGCAATGTATGAACGAACACGAATTTCGAAACAAAGTAATTCATTTGTGAAAATGTATGAAACAAAGAAAATGATAATAACACCTGTAACAATGACGTGGACAGACACACGTTACCATATAATTTGAATCATTTTCTGTAATACAAAGGAAAAGAGATGGTACTCGCGAGAGAGAGTAACTCTAAACATAATTTTTCTTGTTCAACCTGTATTTACAAAACAAACTACAATTTAATAAATAGGGTTTAATTCAAAAGAAAAACGAGAGAAAGTACTAGAATGCAGTGGCATATATTAACTTAAATTAGCGTGCAATGGAACGTTGTTTTGTCGAGATCAATTTCATCAGTGAAACAATTCATCATTCTTTGTATAAAAGAACGAATTTCGACAATACAAAGAGAAATCAATAGCTTGAAAAATATTACGATAACATATAACAACAAAAACTGCATAGTCACTCACTGATATGCGGAATTGTAACGAAATGAGCACTGTAACAAATTGTCAAATGTTTCACTCATATCCAAATTATAAGTGGAAGTACACAGCGCAAAAAGAACAACTATTTTAAAGTTATGTTTTTTTTTTTTTTTTTTTATCATGAAACGTTGAGAAAACATGTCAATACATGATTAAATGTCGAGTGATTGAGGATGACGTAATTTAATGTTTCATAATTTATCTCACACTTCGACGCACTCCGCTGCACCATCTTTCAGAATATTACGATAGGAGGGAAGGTGGTCCACAGAAATTTACTTGTTGGAATTTTAAAAGATTTAAACAAAAGAAAAACCAAAAATATCAGTTCGAGTTCTCCAATAAATAACATTCAATTACCGGCAAATAAGTAGCTGAAAAAAGAAATGAATGCTCCTTCTGACCTTAAATGGGGAAAAAAAAAAAAAACTCGAAAAATTAAATGCAACAATCAAAACGACTCGGGAAAATATCACAGCAATCAAAGATGCAAATCCCATACCGTCACCGCCAATTTTCTGCTTCATACAACCGTAATTAGCAACGTATCGGAAACATGTCACGTGTCAATACGTTTTATAGAATACACCTGCGTTGATAAACACTTCGTAAATGACGAAATAGTGTAAAACAAATAGAGAGTTTCGACAAGCACTACAACAATAAATGTTCCATGTAACCAGAACTTTGAAAGTAAGATAGTGTCAAGAAAAGAGAGATGGAAAGGGCAAAAGATGACAAATATACTTAATCATTTGATGAAGAACTGACAAAATGGAGAACAATATTTGAGCCTCTTTCTTCTTGTTATTTCCGTCATTGGAAGCACAAAGAATAACATTATAATATAGAACAGAATTGATTGATATTACCTTGTTATTCCCTACTTACGACCAAGCTCTCCCACTTTAGTGTAAACGCAACAACATAATAATACGATTGAGTTCACCGCTTCCTGTAAGAAGCTAGCGTGCAGCATGCTTTCAACTGACCCAAATGAGTCTTAATAAACTATGTAATCGTTGAACGGTACATGAAACAAACTGATGAATGTGATATATTTCAACTTCAAAAATTTGTAAATTAGAAGCGACTGATCACTCCATTTATGAAGCATCAGAGCAGCAGAAGAATAATATTCGTTCACCAATAACAGATGTAGATGATGAACAAAAACGCAATTGGACAATGGTTCTCGACAAGAAACCTAAGCAAAGTTATGAGAGCTTTGAAAATACGAATTGTGTAAAATCAAAACAATAAGTGAATCTAACCCTGAAGTGCTTTTGCACTACTGGTAATTTAATTCTGAGTTCAGGAATTAATTAACCAGTATGACAGCACTAAACACTTCACATATATAATAATATCAGAATAGCTGAGGGTGTCGAAAGCACAAAAAGCATCGCAACCTGAAAACATACGAGTTTTATATGAAAAAACAAATGACGCGTTCAGTGAAAATCGGTTTGAACGAAATAAACAAAAAAGAATTAAGAGTCTTGTCTTCCTCGGTGAAGTATATAAAAAATGATATTTCCATTTTGGAAATATCTCAGTCTAGCAGCAGCCAACTGCAAAAAAATTCCAACATTGTGCCAAGTTTCAGAATCATCATCATAGTACTAATAGGTATCACTCACATTGATGTATTGCAGCAAAGACCAATTACATGATCGTCTCCCTGGCCTTCCACCCTCCCCGCAATCACTGTTTTGTCTCTTTCAAGTTTCTCGCAGTTGGCTTTTCAGTTAAGGCAATCTCTACAAATCAATGAACGACCAGTCGAGGCTTTTATAGGCTGATAGTATTCGTAAACAGAATTAAAAAAAAAAGAAAAAAAAAAAACCAAACGGTACTATTGAAAGCCTTCCTGAAGCTTGCAATGACGAAACAACTAAACAACGACCTCTCAGAATCAATAAACCATAGAAACTCTTTATAAATTTTACAGTGGTTGTTATGCCTACCATATTATCCCAACAAACTTTTTCGAACATAAGCAAGCAACAAGTTTCTTGCTTATGTTTGGAGAATTATATCTCCACCTCGACATCTAATGATTCTTGGATCAGAAGAATCACAGATCAAAACTATTGCTGAGAAGCGTACAAAAGGATAGATCCACTCCGCAATGATAATATATTCAGCTATATTCATCCCTACAATATCCATCTCTTAACAATTAAACATCACATTATATCCCAAGAAACAGGTTTCTTCGACATTGCGTGATGGTCCTTTATCATCCTATCAAACACGTCATTTTTCCTGAACGAGCAGTAAGCAATATGTTTCAGAAGTTTATATAACTCACACAATGAGTTAAGTATGCGGAGAATGCAGCCGTCATGTTTACCAAGTTCTCAGTAAACAATTACTCATCCTACTACGACAGAATTGTAATTTACTGGAGCTCATAGCCCGAGGTTACTGCTACACTTCATGAGAAACATTATGAAAATATACCGAGCAATCTTTGATTAGCTGAAATAATGACGACTACTACGATAACTAATAACATAAATTGATTGGAAGTTGAGAACAGACTCACCAAACCGCTCTGGACAGGGGTACAACATTGCCACTAGTCTTTGTTTTCCTTTTTACTTAAATTCGATGATTAATTACGGCACTAAGCCATTTTATTCATGCAATAATTAGTTATTAACTCATCAGCTACATCCAAAATTTTCAAGTGTTTAAAGGAGAAAACTATTATGGTGTTGGTGGTAGCGGAAAGAGTAGAAGAGAGAGACAGTAAAAAGTGCAAGCGAACAAATAAATGCTGTATACACCGCCAAGCAAACAAAACAACACCAACATCATACTCGACATTTCAAGAACTCCTTGAGTTCTCCCTCTGCAAAAATAAAAACAGCAGATACCAAAGGCAGAAGTAGCATTATCAAAATTATGACAAACAACCAGCAATTCCTACAGTCAACCATAGGTATACATCAGTTTTACCATATTTCTGAAATCTTGTTGGAAATTTCCAAAAAAACTCTACATAATTGAGATTTCTCAATACCCAATGCAATTCATTGCAACATGTTCCGTTTCTCCGATCATTTTTCAAAGTGTCTTCTTTAAGGTAACACAGTCTTCATTACCTTAAGTCTTCAAACATTCCCTAAAAACTCGCTCAAAATCGCTTATGTCAAACGCTTATGTCAACTTATGTCAATTCAGAAAACTACCGTCATTTTCAAAGTCCACCAATAAATGTCAAATCTTTATGATGACTGTTAGGAAAGCTAAGTGCACATAGAAATCGGTGTGACCTGGAATGAGATGACTGAGTAATCGAACAACACGAAAAATAATCATAAACATTGATTTTGTAAATTTTGGAACAAGCTAAGCCATATTTGGTCCTATGAGTAGTAGGCCATGGATGTGTGTAATGTGCCAGTAAGATGGCAGTAATAGCAATGTTACTATGACAACGTTTCACCAAAAAGGAACTAGAACAGCCTCACTTATTCCACCTAGACCAAGCCAAGACTGGAATCAATCATTAGTTGAGAAGGTCTTCTTCTAGCCTCTGCATATATCTTAAGGTATTTTCATTCCTCTTCGTTTCACTCAACTAACAATAATTCAATCCATCTCATTTATCGCTGCTATTCTATCTCTGCATTCTGATGAATTACCCTCCCTGTCTATTGCAAAAAGTTCAATTATTTCCTAGCAATTATCATTCTCTTAACAGACAAACGAATCCTATGTTGGGGAATCCTATGTCCCTATGTTAACCACTTTTATCACTTCCTATTCCACACAAAGTATTGTATCACTTTGAAACAAATGTTCATCGGAAGTTCCAACAATCGATAACTGCAAGTAACGCAGATAGAACAAATGCCAGGAAGTGACTAACAGTGATCGGTGAAAGAAAAAGAAAACATTATAACGCCCCGGACTATTTATACTAGTGGGATGAGACAAATGTTTCATTCACAGCACAATAGGATGCAATTCTGCGCTCATTCCTTTAATAGTATGTTAAAGCCTGATAACCCAACAATCCTTCAATAACAGTAGGTTAATCCCTTCCTCCCTTCAGTTCATGCCATTCTCGACTGTTGATTATATCTTTAGACCAAAGATAGGTTCGTCAGTTAAACGAAAAAGGAGCAAAATTACTGAAACAAAATCTCGCTTGGTGTTAAATTATTATTCAATCTTCCAAATGATATCTTGTAATGATTCAATGATACCACTTTCTTCCAATGATATAGTTATTGTGGATGGAAGTTCGATGAAACTGCACGATCTGTGACAAGACGTACCCGCGGAACTATTATGTTACATCAGGCTTACGTATCAATGACAGAGAAAGAAAGTGAGGGTAAGGAATGAGTCACTAATAAGTCAAAACAAGTCTTTTCAATGGATAGAATGGGAAGGATGAGGGAGGGAGAGAGAGAGAGAGAAAGAGGAAGAGAGATGACTCAGAAAGGATATAGAGTCAAGAGATCGTAAGATATTCTGTCGGGTTGCCGAGTCAGATATCATCCGGATAAGTCGTGGGAAAGCGATCTAGTGAGGATGGATATTGCAAAACGCTGAAACGCCGAATTCTGTAAAGTTCGTTGAATGGATGACACATGGATGTTGATGTTCAACTCAAATATTCGTGAGTGATGTGAAGTTATACGCAGAGTCAATATGTCATAAGCTTACAGGAACACTTCCAACCATTTAGTGTTTCGAAAGAATTACTGTAAACTTATACTAATTGAATCGATATTGGTAGTCATGAAATGGAAGGCAAGGTCACAATACATCAGATGTTGCCATCACTTGCCACCTTTCAAGCGAATTGCACATAGAATCAACACTATATAAACTACGTCCTTGCAAAGAATGCCGAACCAGAAATTTCGGTTTGTTGAACGTCCATGAGTGCTGGGCCACCCTCGTCAATAATTTATGTGTCTCTCTCCTTCCTACCGACTCTGCAAGTTCTCCGTCTTTTCGACATCAACCTCATAAGAGTGACTGAGAGAAGCTGATAATGAAACTAACATAAGTATCTCGCTTAGGTAACAGCTTTTGTCGTAGCTCTGTCTTTACGAACAAATAAAAGAAAAACCAATTAATTTTGCGTTTTTCTTGAAAATATTTTTATTTACAGTAGCATAACAGAACACGTGCGGCATTCCTGACACAGTGAATCCATGTTTAAGTATGTGGCGCAATCTTTTGAATGAGTCACACTAATTCTCCAACCTCATGGAGGCAGTTATGAAAATAGAAGAGTGGTTAAGTAACAACTGAGAAATCCGATGAATCACACTTATATTTCCAACAAATTCCTAAAAATTTTGGCAACACACCAGTCGGAAATTTTTCGAGGATGACAAAAAAAATAGAGTGATGAATAGCGGGAGGCTCGGAAGGAACAGCTATATATTCAAAAAGAACAACTGAAGCGATAAAAAACACCAGTTTTTCTTTCGTTAATAAGCAGGAACAAAAGTTATAGTACTGACAGTGGTAATGACGATGGTCGTGGTGTTAATAATAAGAGTGATACTAACAGTAATAACTGACGCAAAAATTTATGCCGCCTGAAATAAGATTTCCATTTCCATACCTTATATATGGTATTAGAACTAAAAAGGATGATAATGCCTACAAAATTAGCAAAAGACAAAGCAAAAGATAATTATAAAAGATTTTTAATTAAAGATAGAACATTTAAAGAACGTATTTCAAGATGTTGCTTTTAAGAAGTGTATCAAGCAAATATATTGGAAACAACTTCCACGAATTTAAAAATCTTTAAAAAAGATTTGAGCTCAAAATATCATACAAAACAACATTGGTACTAAAGATCAATTAAGGGAGTATTGACAAGAAGTTGTGAATAATGAAGTGCTGCCGCTGCCAAAATATGTAAACTAGTAACTTGGATTTTACAAGACGATCACACGAAGAAATTATATTCTGCACTTCTTGGTGAACTAATCAGTATTTCTAATTGGAGAAGAGAATGAAACCACCATAAAAACGTTCCATTCCGGTATATTTTGTGCACTGGCTACATTACTATCAACATTTATTAGTCTTATTGTGGCGCTTCTTGATATGCTTCGGTATCTTCGTTAATCGACTGGCGCGCTTTTCTTCTTTTACCAGCCGTTTTCGCTCCTGAAAAATGTGTCTAAACATATACATACAGTTTGGTTTGACAAAACCAATTTTAAGTCAATTCTTGGGATGTACAAAACATTTTGCGTAAGGTATCACTAATATCCGGTTGCAAATCGTAAGTAAGCCATATATTGTAAATTTCGACTATCATTTAAATCAAAGTAATGACCCAAATCAGCCCTATTACTGATTAATTCCACAAAATCTGGAGATGTGATAAAAAAAATCAACAGTAAATAATCTTAATAAAAACCAAGACAAAATCAAATATTTTGGCTGAAAATAAACGAAGAAGAAAAAGAATTTTTTAACATTATCAAATAATATTGAAAGAAAGTTTGTAGACATAATTTTCGAATTACAGCGCCGGTAAATTTTTTAACATTATGCAGATTTGGAAACATTATTCAAGCGAACGCGAACGTGTCTAACAATTAACAGCGAAAATACTTTATTCTGCTGGAAGGATTTCACTGTCCACTTTAAAAGAAAAGGAATGAAATCATTTACTTTCTTGAAGAGAATTATTTCCACAAAGCACTTTGCTCTCATCACGTCTTATGAAAAGAGATTTTTAAGTAGTGAACAACTTAAAAAGATTTAGGCTCGAATTTTAGAATATTTTAACATTTGCTTAAGTCAATACAAATTGGTTTATTGGACTTTGAAGACTCATTCATGATGAGAAAGTGCGGAAGATTTATTTTCCTCAAAAGAAATTTAATACTGACTACACAGCCGTGCACATATTTTCCTTTACAAACCTTTTTCGTATTCGGGGATTCATCACGACTGCGTATATAGATGGCTACTTTGCGATTTTTTCGTTCTTTTTCGCCAGAGATTGATAACTCTATTGAGCCAGGATATTGATTTAAACCTCTTTGATCTTCTAGTTCGTCACTTTCAAACTCATTTCCCTACAAAAAATACTGCATGTCCAAGAAACGCTCTCTCTAACCAACATAATGATGCAACACAAAGAGTTACAGAAGCAGTACATTTAAAGACTTATACACAAACGGAAATTGCTCCATAAAACTATTAAAAATTAAACAACTTCACAAAATTCTGCTGCATATGTTTTTTCCACACTTTATCTTAAGAAAAAATGCTTATCACCAATGAAAAAAAAGACATTCAAAATCCAAAAGTGACTTGAAATAATCTTTACCTCATCTATACTCTGATCTTCATCACACCTCACTTGTGAGATCATCATCTGAAACGGATTTGGAATTTCTCCACCAGCTTTTGTAATTTGTTGATCACGTTCAAAGTAAAGCACTTGTTCTAACTTTTGAGCAATAAAGGCATTCATAAACAGGGCATCATCAGCTGGTGTTTCAGAAGTCCTGCAAAAATGATACAAGAATTTTTATAAGAAAACGAGGATATTCTTGAAATAAAAAGTTTTTAAAAATCTTAACTTAGGCCAAGTTACGTTCAGCTTTTCATCTTTAAATTTCTTAAATTTAGAGTTTTAGTAACTAGTTCCTAAATCACAATCTTTAATACCAGTACGCTTAATAAGAAAATTTTCTTGGAAAATGTAATATTTCTGTCCGAAAAGGAACTTAGCGCCATAATTCAGTTGCTTTCAGCAAAAACTGTCTTTAATATGAACATAGAATCTGAAAAAGTAATACGATAATATTTAATTAAAATTGAATCTGTTGCACGTGTTTATGCAGTCACTTAAATTTTAAGTGGTTTCCAACCGGCGATATGCAGACCGCAAATGGTCTACGAGAATTAAAACATGGTCCACCAAGGTGATTAAAAATTATTTTCTTTCTTTTTTATATTATAATGTTACTCTAAGTTTAACTAATACATTAAAAGTTTTGATTAACGCTTATTTTCAAATTAACGGAATTTATTCAAAAAGAAAAGCCAAATTGGTTCCTAGTCGAGAAAGATTGGGAATCACTGCTTTAGAATAACGAAGGCAACAATGACTTTTATTATTAGCGAGTAGAAAAGAATAAGTAGAAACTGCATTAAGGAAAATTACCTTTTACTCATAAGTTCCTGTAATTGACTTTCCGTTTTGATAGATGGATCAGCCACCAAAAGAAAAAGATCTCTAGTAGAAAGCACAGAAACCTGCAACTAACACTGTATTAACTACAAATCTTCCAAATTTAGCAGTCTCAAGAAAAAAAATCTTCAACAAAAGCCTTACCCCCCTACTTCTGAAGAATTTTGTGACATTCGAGCAGTCTGAACGAAGAAATTCTAGAGAACGTGGATGATCGTGCTCTACTGATTGTGATACATCAATTATGTACAACTTTCCTTCTTTAACCATAATATTGTATTCGGATAAATCGGCATGTACCAGCCGACAATCTCTGTAGATTTTCCGCATATAATCCACTAGTTTGATATAAAGCGTATCAGCAAGCTTATGTGACAGCTCAGCATCCTAAATTCAGTTAAATAATCTCTTTGTCAACAAAGAAGTTTGAGACTTAAGATAACGAATAACTAATCAGTAACAAAAATGGTAATTAATAATAATAATAATAAAATAATAATAATAATAATAATAATAATAATAATAATAATAATAATAATAATAATAATAATAATAATAATAATAATGACACTGATAATAGCAATAATAAATAATAATAATAATAAAAATAACGGAAATTTCCGTGTCAGAAACAACCTACCACGTCATATAACAAAAAATTATTGGATCTGGACACGAACTTTTAAAAGTGCTGCTGGCCAACCATCGGCACCAATAAAATCCATAACCACAACATTCTGCTTAACGATTACAGGTTTTGGAACAGGAAGTCCGACAGAATGCATTCGGGACAGATTCCTCATTTCTTTTTCTGCCCACACTGTGATCATTTTTCTTGGATTATGCTTGGAGTAACCATGCCGATATCTGTAGAGCAAATACACCTCTTGTTTATCTCAGCGGTAACTTATTTTAACGGAAGTCTTGCAAATAACTTAAGGGGGCTGTACTTTACGACATTAATACTTCAAAAAAGATCAATGTGACCTTTTTTTTCTGACTACTTATATTCCTCTGGCATATTTTTGGATAGCGGTGCAGTTCACAACATATTTGTAAAAAATCCAAGTAAAATAACCTGAATTCACCACTAACGTATCTGTCGCGATCTCGAAAGATGAGTATGCTTGTTTTATACACCTTCACAGCCAGACTTTTGCCATCACCTGTTAAAGCATGATAAACATTCGCCTCTTTACCAGTACTAACGCATCCTTCAATTTTATCGAAAATATCTCTTTGCATAAGTCGCCTTAATATAAGCAAAGTGCGTTTATCCAGAACCTTGAAAGAAAAGAAAGATAAATGAATGAAATCAAGTGAAAATAAAAACACAGAGGTCTAATGTTCAATGTACTTCTATTCGATTGCATATTTTACTATCAAACTATTTCAAACAGTTTCGCACTAAATAAAGAAACTCATTTTGGAATGCTTGTGCTGTAGTAAATTATACTGTTGAATAAGGAGTACAACAATGGACATGTAAACCAACACTTTGTTTTCCTCTAATAACACATAAAAAGTTCCATTACCTGTTCTGCAGTTGCTCGATCAGAACGATCTTTACATATAGTCTTCACCGAGGAAAATCTTTCCATCAACTTCCGGTTCCAGAACTCACTCAGACCAGTTCGACCTGCAGTGAGTGTTATTCCTGCAGAAGCACAATCAAAACTCGCATCTACTACGGGAAACCAAATTAAAAAAGAAAAAAACGGAAGCTATCAGTTTACTCGAATAGTCTTAAACTGCAACTTAGATGTGACCTTTTATAATAGCCTAGACACCTACAACATAATAATCTTACTCAGATAATTTTTATGAAGCTATCTATAGGAAGCAGACTATCTTTTCACAGTAATGGATCAGCAAAAAAATTATAAACCATAAGCAATTTGCAGTATATTTGATCACAAAAGCTTCATTATACTTGCCATCTGAAATTCAGTAATAAGAAAAACTTCGATAAGGGATGGAAACTCACCCGTAGTACCTTTCGACACAGTGTTCAGCGAGTCAGTAAATAGCTTAAAGAAAACATAATTCAATAATTTGAACGTCCATGACAAAAAAAAGAGATAGAACAAGAAAAGTACAGAAATAAAGATCGAAATCCGAAATCATACCTTACTGCTACTGCCCAACTTCCGAGTAAGATCTAAAAAACAGACCAACATCGACGAAAGCAACAAAGTAACAAAGAGTTGATATCAAAATGCAAGTAGATAACCTCCACATTATTTTTTCTTAAAGGAAGCACCTGTGGCAAACAAGATTCAAACTAATCAAGCGCACCATTTCTTACTTCCAAACATTTCTTATTTCTACAGCGGTGCAATCATCCTTATTTACTAACTCGCCTTGCAAGCCTCTTGCAGGAGTATCGAGCTAACCTACACAACGATATCTGTTAATGCTAACTTCTTACTTTGTTTGAGGAACAAAGCATAATAAACCAAAATAACATCAGTCACGATGAATGTAAACCTACCATCATAATCATCGTCATACATGCTCACCCAGTCATCATCTTCATCGTCAACATCACCGTCATCATTCCTTTCATTGTTTTCGGCAATCTGCTCTTTACTGACAAACTCCCAACTGCCTTTACTAACAGCTGTGATCCTCGCCATTTTGCACAACAAAACCTAAATTCCGACAATTAGTCCTGCTGAAGCTACAGCACTATGATCACCTGGCATATGATGCAGCCAACCTACAATAAGTTCTGTGGTCGGTTATAGTTAAATTCATACAGCAAGTATTTTTAAGAAAGCAACTGTGATAACCATGATTCAACGAATCATCCTCATTTATTACTGGCTTTGCACGTCTCTCGCAGGAGTATCGAGCTACACAATGACATCTGTCAATGTTAATTTTTTATTCACATAACATGAAATATGGTGCATAAAAATCAAGTGTATCACTTGGCAAACCATTCAGAAATTCGAGTAGCTCTTTGCACTTGTAATTCCCCTCCTTTATGGTGAAGGATCCTTTGTCATGCCTATTCTTCAATAAAAGGAGCTTTGAATAAAAAACGCACATTATATTACAGCTGTCATCCTTCTAACTATACATCACTATTACTAACGATAAAAAGAGATAATCTTTCAGAACTCTACGTTCTCCCCGACTAAATATTAAATGAGGACCCAGGTAAGTAGGTATGAATACTGATGCTGACATAAACATTTCATATTACTGTAACGAAAATTATGAAGTTCGGCTGTGAATGTAGGAAACTCCAAGTATATCCAACTATGTGGTGAAATTAGCGGAAATATTAAGCATTAATCAGTAAATGTAAGAAACCATCAAAAAAAAAAAAAAAAAAACAGGAGAAGAATGAATAAGAGGGAAGAGCCCTTTTTACGCACATGTCGAAAAAAACACATCGAGAGTGTCACGAAACTATACGAGTACAGCGCACATGAATATTATGCAATAACTACGGTATAGCACATATGTATAAATTAAACGATGCAAGTACAACACACAGATTCGGAAACACGAAATGCCATCTTGCTTTGAGTACATTAATTGAGCAAAATGATTCACTTAAGTAATGCACTTTCTGCTCAACAAACTCGACCGTTTTTCGGACGCATGATATAAGTCTGGACTAAAGATTGCATAAAATATACCTGACACTAATAATACAGAAATGAAGGGAGGAAATGAAAAGCTTTATTCCGCTCAAAGAAGAAATAGAGTTCAAATGCTTCTTTTTTTTTGCGAACTTCAGAGATTCGAATAATCATTCACATCCGGACACATTTTCTACCAAAATGGGCACACTACACCTTGCTCGCCAGCAAGCGCATGAATCTGCCCTCATTACCAGTGGAAGTTCGTGTCATATAATTGCACAGTACCATTCAACTCTTTCGCCACCCATTTTACTAAGCATAATTCTAAACCAACGAGTCAGCAATCCTTCCTAAACCTCCGATCACCCATAAACCTATGCTTGTATCACTACATCACGACATTTCTGCCACTGTGCAAACCGGCTGTCTCACAACATTTTCAAGCATTGCAGACCCCACCAGTACGGATTAATTGCATAAAAGGGTTGTGCCTAGCAAATTATGGTGATGATTTGTACTGTGTTGTCATACGTTTTATTCACAATATCTCTGTAGCGTTGGCCACTTCTATTCCAACAATAGTTTATGGATATAGGAATTACTTCACAGCCATTCATTCAAACTAAACGGTATTTCTTGTGACCACCATAATAAATGATCAGCACAGCTATGAAAATCACTAGTAATGCGAAAAGGAATGAACTCAATGGATATATCTTGCATTTCAAACGAAAACAGAAAAATGAGCAGATGAAGAACATTCCTTTACAACTCTTCTATATCTAAAACTTCTCCTTAGTTCTTGAAGTCATGCTAATTTTCTTCTTGCAAACCGTTCGTTATTCCACGATTCACATATATATGACTCAAGAATATTTCTTAACGATGACATCAGAACTAAGCAGTGGCTATATTTACAGGGAAAAACGTATTGAGATTCAGGTAAACTATTTCCGTATTAGAAATATTATAGAAGTGGAAAACTTAGCAAGGGATGCTGCATCACCACGGTATATCGATTTGGGATGAATAAACCCATAATCACTCACTGCGTTTTTATAAATTTCCATACGTCAAGAAAACTTTTTTTTAATAAACTTGACTGATTGCTGCATGACTTGATGCTAAAGCGGAGGTCAACACGCTTGATACCATTCCTAAATAGTTTTCCTAACTATGAAGGCCGCAAGTGCAGAAAACAAAGAGCGAAGTTGTTTCTTCTTTAAACTAAAAGGTTATAGTTTCACCTTCAACTTTAAAGCTGAATAAAAAAGAATGACCACTAAAATGAAAGCTGTCTGTAAAGCGAACAAAACAGATTTAACTAAATATATTACAAAGTATACAAAGTATGACAAAGACTAAAATACAGAGGAGGTCTAATAAAGCATCGAAGAATACTGCAAATACGAAAATCATTTTAAACTCGCTTAATTTTATGGCACATTTATCAGTAATATTAAAGTAAAAATAGATAGATATAAACCAGATAGACATAACACATAATAAGCTGAAAAGGCAAAAAGACTAACGGGAAATAAAAATTAGAAAAGAAAATCCAAATACATCGCCTTGAACTACTACTTTTTAGAAAGACTATGACGTTTCTTGAGATAATCATCACTACCTAATAATCTTCATTAAATGCATCCAAATCACTTGCGAGGTGAATATTTTGGATTTCGAGGCATTTCTGTGAAAGACTGGAGTTGGTATTTAATCATATCTTTCCCCAGTTCAAAATTCAACGTTTCCAGTTCATTTTTTTGTGAAAATAACATCTTTATGTCGGTGTGAACATACAATCTGCCACGACGATCTGTTGCCAAGCTGAAATAAGTTGTAAATAACTAAATTCTTCCTTGACGTGTCACATTATAATTTCTAAATTATTCCGCAATACTATAAAAAGTTGACTGATTCGATGAAACTCACTAGTGTCGGCAAAAAAAATTTAGAGATAAGACCAAAAATCATCATCCCCGACGTGGCGAAACTAGAGACACTATGTAATCGTTCCACAAACGCAACCTTTTATTTTTTAAAATATGAGCCTTAGAAAGAAAGGGGAACCAGTAGAAAAAAGGGAAAAAGATGGAAAAAAATGGAAGTGCTTAGACAGACTACGAAAGGCTAGGATATAGCAAAATATATAGAAAAATGGAGGACAAGTTTCTCGACAAAGTTTAATATCATTAGCAAGTCGAAGAATTGAAATCGAAGAAAAAACTTACTGATAGGTAATAAACCTAAAATCCAAAAATAGGTTTAGAGTACGAAACTGCAAAGTGATTACCTTATATGGATCAGATATTTAAGCCAAGAGCGAAGCACATCATCGCACGTGCATCCTACTGGCATAAAAAATGTACGTTGTCGTAAGAAGGTTTGTGAAGAAGGCGGCATGTCACTAACGTCAAATTTGACTACAAACATTCGTACCACAGTGCCTTGTGGATTAAACAACACCTACAGTAAGATGATTCCAATATTAGAATGTAAATGATATTATACATTAATTCTTGAAGCAAAAGATGGAAAATCAACACCAATTATATCCTGATGCTTACTATTTAATAATCAAAAAATTGTTTCATAAAACCACCGACTTCTTCCATTCCATTAAACACTGAGAGTGAACTGGTGATCCTACAAGTATTCTCAAGTATCTGTTGATTCGCTATTAAGTGGTGTTTTCCACGACGCTCATACCATTACCGAATCAAAAAATGACATTTTTGTGATTATTCCTAGGAGAAATTTTGTATGTTCGCTGAAGACCTATTATTAGCTACTTCGGAAAATTTCAAGCAGCTCTACGCACGACTGCTTTTCTCAGAAGATCCGCTGCATGACTCCGAATAACTGCTAGGAAAAATAGAATCCATATAAATAATTACCGCCTGTAAAATGCCCTTCCTGGGAATTCTATAACCCTTGCGCATGTTTTCCAATGAACAAAAACCCTGAAAATGATTGAAACCAGAAATTAAAAAAGTAAATGGTCTCAAACTTACACAAAAAATAAAAATTTGGATTGTTTCAAAATTCCTCAACAGTATTGAAATTTAAATAAATCATGGTGAAATAATATAGAGGACAGTTAGTTATGAGTTTCGAAATAAAATTAATCAACAAACCATGTAAGGTAAAGGTGCTTCATCTTCAGGCATGTTGAAAAAGAAAGTTGTAACTGGCAATGTAAGATGGGGAGAACAAGCTTCGTCGCTTGCTGCTACAAAATTTCTTAATTTCATTCGCTGAGTGATTTTGTTCATATTGCCAAAACAACTTAAATCAGAAAAAGTTGGAGTTAGAAGATTACAAAATAACTAAATGAATTATTGGTTTTATTGATCGAATCAAAAATGACTCTTTAAGGCACCTGTTAATTACGTCTGAAAACGCGATCAGATTTAAGCGGCCATTTAGTTTGAATTTTATTAAAAAGGTTAGATTTTAACAGAAAATGACTTCCAACTTACCAATTTGCAGGTGAAAACCACCTAAAGACGTGACCGGATCTAAACGGCCGTTCAGTGCACTTTCTTCAAAGTTGCACAACAAACCACTGTTTGAAGATGTACTTCTCCTAGTACATCCACTTCCATAATAACTTGGATTACTGTCTTTTTCATCCATCGACGCACTATAATGGCCGAAACTTTCAAAGTTTCATTTCGAAACTTATCTTTATTATATCTCTACGTCCTGCTATAATAATCACTAATATCTAAGAGAAAGTCAAAAAGGTAGTTCAATGTAACGTGAAATCTGGTTTCTGTTATATTAATGATAGTACTGTATTACTGAAAAAACGGTCAAAAGGAGTCATTTAGTTATAAAAATCGAAAAAAAATAAGTATAATTTGATAACAGTGCACAGGGATCTATAAGTGCAGATCTTTTACAAGAATGCCTAAAATATAGAATGATAAATTACTAACTTTCGCAAAATATGAGCGGTCGTTTCTTCTCTAGCTGTTTTCTCGATGATTTTATTTCGTGTACTTTTTACTGGCAAATCTCTAACAAATTTCGTTTCGCTGCGGTTGAACGGCGCAGGACTAGAATTTAGGGGCAGACCAGTAGATTTGGAGAAGGCTTTGGATGCATTTGACATAAAACGAAATGCGGAAATAAGACTTCGGCGTGGCAGGGTTTCTCGGCGTGAGGCAGGCGATGGCGGAACTGCTTGCAGTGGAGATCCAGTCTCTATTGAAGATTCTGATGCTGACAGTAGATTCTCAACAGTAGGTAATTTAACACTCTGTTCATTTCCCAGCAGCATCTTTTCATCCGTAGCTGTAAATAACTCATGAATAATCTTTAGAAAAAAAAGAAGTCACTGCAGGAATCCACTGATAGACAAACATATGTAGTTCATGAATTCAACCAAAAAAGTGCAAAAAAAAGTTTTCGTTACCAAAAATCAGAATATTTTTCTATTCTCTTATTTTTAGTTTACTTGAAAAGTTACCTCTTACATCATTTCGGAAATTGAAAAACCGACAAATTCGTGGCCCAGAATGTAAATGAGTTGACTTGCAAGCACAACTGTCTTTAATTAATAGCTGTTCATAAAATGCCGTTTTAAGGTTATAAGTGTTGTATACAGATGCATTGCTTTTCCTAACGCTTTCAAATTCTATTCCATCCATCTCACTGTTTCGCTGATATTCAAATGATATGTAAAAAACTGGGATTCCAGATGATGATGCAGTAAAATGTTTCTCACCAAACAATATCGATGAAAGTAGCAACCACTCCTCAGAAAGTGACCTGCAAAAATTAACTTGATATCTGATGTTTGATTAAAATTTTTCAGAGCATAAAATTATAGAGGTGATGACAATTATAAACAGCTAAAAATTATTACCTAGCGAATTTCGATGACCATAAATGCGGAGAAGCATTGTATTTTTTCCATTTGACTATTACGTAAACACAAGACAGTGAATTAAGTCGTCCAAGAGGAAATCCATGAATTTCAAAACTCCTTAACTGAACACACAGACAGACATCATCCATAGGAATCCTGATAAAACTTAGGAAACAAGGTTGGTGAGTAGATCGAAATTAGTTAAAAGACGTACGCTAGCTTCTAAGGTTTTCAATGTTACTCGTAATTCGGACTTCTCTAGCATAGCAGAAACGTTAGAAATAAATTTAACGTATTTAACGAAAGTAACTACATTCAAATTTATTTCGGCTGAATGTATTTCGAAGAGCTGGATACTTACAAACTGGATAATTAAAAAGGAGCAAACCTATATTTGCAAACTGTATCATTTGACAGCTGTTCTTCACTACATGTCGTCTGGGAGCTCAGTTGCGAAAAATGCAAATAAGACTGTATTGCATTTTTCAAAAACATACTATCCAATATCTGCAATGAAAAATATAAATAAAGTTAGGAAAGTAGGCGAAAATTTCAATTAAGAAAATATTCCCCAGAATATTTGAAGTTCCTTGAGCCACAATTCAAAAGCTGGTGAAACATCATATAGTATAGCGCAATCAAAAGCAGGGATTTAGGGGATGTTGTTTATTCATAAAATTGTTTATTGATAACAAATTGGTAGAATCCACAATAAAATAACTTCTTTAGAATTTACTTATTCAGAAATTGACCTTTTCATTAATGCTTAATCTTGGAACAATTTTAATTGTCCAATCTTCAAGTAAGACAATGCTTGTACAAGAGAATTTCAAAAAACACTGTTGATGCACGAGGAACGTATGCATGGAGAGCAGAGAACTAGTCTCAATGATTTTAGGAGCTCTTTGAAGCATCTGTTCGATATACTTTGAATCTCCATGACGACTATCGATCATTAAACGCGTTATCTCCAAACCCAATTTCATCACAAATCGTTTGGCAAAAAACTGAAAGTGATGATTACATGTTTAAAGCAGTACTTTTCAAAGTTTACTACACTATTCAACTTCTTTCTTTGCCAAGATTTCTTGAAACTTACGAACGCCGGCGTATTACCACTATCATTAGATTTTCGCTAATACATTGCTGAGATGACAGGATGAATGCGAAATTTTATTATATATATATATAGCCTAACGCTATGGATCGTTATGAAGATACATCCTTCGAACACTTTAAAAAAATCGAACCTCGCTTTCTTTATGGCTTCACTGTACAGATTTTGTTCACTTTCAGCTAATTTAAATTAAACATCAGATATATTCATAAAGTTTTCAGATAGCCACCTCCAAATTACCTCATACTTCAAATTTTAAATTCAAATTTAAAACTGATTAGGGCAGTTGTCCGTAACTGTTATTAAAAACTGTTGAATAACCTCCCACGGAATGAATGACTTCCTATCCCGTGTCCAATTCAGCAGTAATAATAAACTAACCTAAGACTTCATGGAATGCCAGTAAATTGACATTAATGTCCAACATACATCATGCAAAGATGTAGTGTTTCAGTTGATGTATACTTAACTATACCGATTTCCAAACTGGCATGACTATATTAACGAAGGAATGATATCCTGGAAACAAGGAAATGCTTTCCGTTAAAAATAACACTTTCTTATTTCCCGACGATGACACTGACCCTTTCAGAGATGAAAACAACCGAAGCTGGAGTAATACAATATCCAGGAAGAAAAAATGTCTGTGACATTATTGATTTTTCTGAAAATATACCAACTGCGAAGAATGAATAAAAGGCAAGGAAATGGTATTAAGAATTGGCCGTGCGATCAGCATTATGAATATTACACTCTGTATTATAACATTATTGTGAGAGATGGCGCAAAATGGATCACCCCAAATGGTAATCTTGCCTTTGTTTAAAAAGAGAGTATGGTGAGTTACAGAAGGAAGCTGTTATGGATAAACCCTGTTAAAATAATATAACACGATGAAGCGTAAGAATTATCTATGAAGTGCCGATATCCAGAGCTCTATATCTCTGAAGTATTGAAATGGCGCTGCATCTTATCAAACAAATGCAGCTAATTGCATCTGCACATTATCCGTTCAACACCAACCGGTAAATCCCGTCTTTGAGAAGCACCTTCACCCGTCATACGAAACATCTGCGACGAAATAGAAATACCAATGAATATGTCAAACAGCTCTCACCCGATGATAAAATTCTTAAGTCATAATCACTGATGTTCACTGTTTTAAACCACCAAAAAAGATCAGAAAAAAAAAAGACATTTCGGTCTGCTTGGACACTTATCAACATTTCGTTTTTCTGTTGAAAAAACAAACAACCAGCACATACAATACATCGATTGCTTCAGGCGATTGATTCAACACAGAAAATATGAAGTGGACTTATCAGACCAAAACGTGTTCTCAGTCATTCTCTATTTATAATGCGCTCATAGATTCAGTATGAAATTATGAAATTAGTTTGGCAGTAGTTTATTATAACTCACCGTAAAGAAGTGCTATACAAACACTGAACTTCTTTCGCATGACACAGCTGCTCTAGCAGTCCTGCTTGCAGCTCGCGGTTACGACAAACATGCACACATATGCACATATATACTTTCACATATATATATATATATATATAATATATATACATGCAGGGAACCACCAAGTGAAGTTGAAGCAAAAGTAAAAGTTATGAGCTCAACTTGACCAGGGTGTACTAATGTACGCACTGAAGTACGGTTATCAGAGGGGTTTAGGCTAATCAAGCACCTCACCAATACATCACTCATGAATTTAATTGAGATGTTTCCTCAATGATTGGAAGCAGCAAATTCAGATTGGCCCTGTTCGTACACATCAACTAACGACAACATCCTTAGCAGCCTTTCAAATTTGCGTTGATCAATTCAGCTCAAAAACATATAATACTTTATCCAGATGTCTAATTCCTCCAGGGAAACAGGTCGTAAAATTCTTCTGCTCAACTTACTGAGCGATTGGAACATTGCTAATTTGGACTTAACTGCGGATATTTTCTCGGAATACGAGAAATACCTTTCAGCGTTTCAGCATCAGAGCAGTGTGGGCATTTCATTCCTCAAAAATTTTTTTTTTCTAGGAAGGAGGAAGAACGGACAGAAAATTGTTAAAATCTAAAATTCTAGTATTCCTTTAGCAGAGTTAATATAAGTCTTCAACAAAATAAATTTCCTATTAACTTAGATAAATTAACATTTTTTAGAGTCTTAAACTGTGACAGACAATCATAATCACTGCTCCAAGTCACTGAAAAATAATGAGTGAGCGATGTGCATGAAAACTGCTGTTGTATTTATTGAAATTTAAGAAAATCGACCTAGTGATTTATGGTGATAAAAGTATGAAATAACAGATTTCCGAATGTTCCGGAAAACATTTCAAGAACTGAATTTACAAAACGCCTTTATGACAAACTTCAGGACCAACTACAGCAAACATATACATAGATGTAGAAGCGGAAATTTATAAATCGTGGCTATGTGGTTGCTCAGCAGATCGCAATATCTTCCTCTTAGTTGCACCGGCTTGCTGTTTTTGAGTTTCAAAATCCAGCATTTCCTGTTCAATTAGCAATTCTTCATCGATATCTGTCGCTATTTGACGATAATCGGCTATGAGATCATATTTGCGGAGGTCAGTGATCTGAAAAAATGACCCTACACGTCCATTTCGATCTGAATAAAACCTTTTCTGTAGAGAATATTTATCCTATTTGTTTTCAGAAACGTATCATGTTTTAGCTTTGAAGCATAAATTTAAACTCTAAGCATAATTTTAAGCATAACAAAGCATAACTTTAAATCTCTTATACTTTCATCTTCTTACAAAAATATATAACATACAGAAATATGTACGCAGACATATAACATGATCAAAATCTAATAGTGTCAAAAATTTTCGAATTAGAAGAAACACCCATTTTTTTTACTATTCAGAAAAAAGTCAGTAAAGCTCACCTTAGTTCTCCTAAATTTCTTTTTATACCACGGAGTTTGCTCACTCCATACATCTTCTATTCCTTTATAATCAAAAAGTTCCCATCTCCTTGTCCATGGTGGTGGACGCAGTTTAACCTTCACTTTTAAAAAATGGATAAAATTAACAAAAACATAAAATAACTGAACAGTATTAAAGTAAGCTGAAATGATGAACTCCATTAAAACATTGTTGAACACTGACAGCGGTAGAAGCAACCAAAGAGTAATTTTATGTGCTCAACTCAATCCGTCAATTTCTGCAGAACTTTTGAACTTTGTCAGGGAGTACTTACCCGATTAACTGACAGTAGAATGTTCGTTTTGCTTTTAAAAATGCATCAAGTTCGGCTTTGAAATAATCTATCAAACTCTGTTTTTGTAAGGAAAAGGAGGAATTAGCGTTCTACGTACTCGTGTGCCTGCTTCAGATATGTTAATTAAAGAGAATGCTATTAAAAGTGAAAGAAGGAACCATCCATTTTTAACAGCGAGTCGCAACGAAATTTGATATAAATTCCAAAATATAGTTCGGGAACTTGATGTTTTTCCGAGAAAACTTGCCGCTCTTGGAATTTCCAAGAGAGCGGTCGAGACTTTCCCGCATCATAACTATCGCATTAAAGCGATTAAAATAATAGTGATTAAAAATTAGTTAAATGGAACTTGTTCGGACAACCTTTCCAGTTAGGTCAAAGGATCAAATCTCATACTGAAAGATAAAGGTTAACCTTTAGCGGATTTATGGGAATTGGTTTTCCAACAATATGAGACGTAGGTTCCATGTGAATATTAAATGTACTATATTCGGGGTAAGCGTCAACCAAATAGCTTAAATCATCATCCAAGCGCTTTTCCAACTTGATTACTTCTATTTTGGTAATCGTTGGTGTATACATTTCGTACATAATTTCCACACCTGTAAGTTTTTATTAATTGGAGAACCAAACACCAACTTAGCCTCAAGTTTTTGAAATAACAAAAGGCAACAACAACCTATTCCCTCGATAATGTTCCGTAGTGTGAATTGCGACTTCAAACCTTCCAACCTTCGGCTAATGCATATGCCCAAAAATCGATTCTTCAATTCCACTAATTTTTTATCCGAATAAGTAACAGCAACAATGGAACCTTCAAAAAATGTTGCAAAAGATTAGCAGACAATTGGCTAGCTCCCATTAAAAACAATCTTAAAAACACCGGAATAATTTGCTTCATTACTTTAACTGCCTAAAGTTATGGATCCAGTTTCATAAGAATCAATTTTGATGAATACCTTAAAAAGCATTGGGAAAATAATATTTTACTAAACAGAAATGCGAGAATTACAAAGCGAAGAATTCACATACAAATGTAGAATTTTGGAATGCCTATTCGTAAACAGCGCTCCAAGAGAAAAATTCACGTACCAACGTAGAATTCAGGAATATCTATTCGTAAACGGCGCTCTAACATGTCTTTCCTTTCCAGTTCCTCTCGCAGCAAATTTCGTCTTCCATACATGGAGGTGGGTTGGAAATCCGGATACACCTCTCTATAAGACTGCGCTTTTTCAAAATCTTTACAAATGAATGCGCAGTAGAGAATGAAATATGCTTACCGGAAATTTGGTATGTGCCTCTCAAGCCTGATTTTCCTTTCTTCATGGGAGAGGCGACGATATGCGCGTTGACCGATTATCCTAGCTTCCAGAGGCAGTATCCTGATGTTGCACTGCATTGTGAAGCTTCTGGATCACAAGTATCCTAAGCCAATTTACGTTCCAATTTACTTCGTGAGCCTCCAGATTCTGGTATTTCTTAATACGAGATAGGAAGCAGTAGTAGATTCCTGAGGCTCTTGGTTCTCCTGAAGCCACTCAAGTCACAAATAGATGGTGATGGATTTAAACACATTCGCAGCTTTCGTCACCAAGCCTTATATATTTCATAAATAACATTAAGGGTTCTAAATAATAGCAGTCGAGTTTTAACTTCATGTAGAATCTATTGATAAGGTAATCGTTACTTTTATGAAAATTCTGCAATTCATATAACATGCATCAAAATGTTTAAAAAAATCACCATCTTCATGCAAAATTGAAGCAATGCAGTGACATCATGAATCGGTGATTTCATATGATTTTCAATGTTAAAAAAAACAAAATGGTTGAAAATAGCATAAATTAAAATGCAGTTTGCAAATAAACACAACATTATTAAGATATACAATTTCTGCGCTAAAAAATCACAAAAATGAAATCTATGATGTAATTAATATTATAAGGAGAGGAAAAGAAATGTAATGGATTCTAACAATAAATCTAAACTGTATCTCAAAGACGGAAATCGGAATATAAACGTTTCATAGCACTATATAAAAGTAATTCCTAATTCCAACTTTGTAATTGCACTTTGCATCTGATTGAATATGAAAACAGCACGCAGTTAAGCAAATTTAAACAAATAAATAAGTAATGTAAATGCAATATTCTGAAAGAATGCGAGAGTAGAAAACATCGATTATCAGCAATTTCCGTAACGAATCAGACGACGTCAATTACAGCTGCAATTACAGTAATTGCAGCAAAACATATTTTAGCTACCACTAACTAATAGTATATTTCTGAACCATTGTACATATCCCAAGGAAAATACTCATCTTCAAACGAATTTTCAGCATCAGATGACTCTGCATTACCATTGCCGATATCTTCTGGTGTATCTACACTGCCACTCTCTTCCAAAAATAGTTCTTCAAGTGCTCCAGGAACCTTACACTTACAAAGGTCTGAATAACACAAAGGGCATACCTGAAATGATGATTTAAGGAGGAATTTTTACTAGATTTTCCAAGACAAACAAAATTTTGATAACGCTCACAAATGAATTTAATCCTACCAAAAAAATCCTTCGCAACATAAGCAAAGATCGTAAGAATCAGAAAAGCAACTTCAACATACCCGAATGCTACACAATTATGTCAACTCTCTAAAAGTATTCATTGCCAAACTGCTTGGATGTTAATGTTTCGTAGCAAAGATAAAGCATGAACCTGCTTGATACTGAGCCATTTTCTTAAACAGAAACTGTGGAAAAAATGCTTGCAAGGTGTTATGCGTGCATCTTCCACCATATCACACAAACATATAGCGCATGCATCACGTCGTTGTTGTAACATTGCTTTGGACACAAGGGGTAGTTGTGACAAGCTCGAATATGCTGCACGCCGTGATTGTACCCCAACAATTCCAGCCTTTAGCCGCCTCCAAACACTGAAATATAGGTAGAATACCAGAACCACTACACTTGTCAATGTCCAATGGCCTGAAAAACAGTTTTTCTTGACACTCATCAAATTCTTCTAAAGTTCTCCAACAGAATTTGAATGTGAAATCTTTTGAACACTTTATGTTACTTTAATAAGATTTACAGGAAACCGGATATATAGAAGTTGAAAAAACAGTTGCATCCTATTTTACTAAGAATTGAGTTTACTCTACTTTGTAGTGAACTCATCTTTTATGGATGTCAGAATACCGTAGCAAACAACATTCAGTGCAAGTAATACTTCGACACCACATGTAATCGTTTTGCACATGAACACGACATAGTCAGCTCGTCCCCATACATCCATAGAATCTGTCTCTAATACATATATGACATATATGATGAGGGCTGACAACGTGTGGACTGCCGTCAGCAAACAATTTGAAACTATTATTAGACACCTAAAAAACGAATCAATTTTTGTTAGGAAATTGAGTGTTGTAGTAAGAAAACACAGATGATAGATGCTAAGATTCTTAGATGCTAAATGAAAATTCTAACCACAAGTCAACAGGTAGGAATTGGATAACAGCAGCAGAAGTACAAAGCGATGTCACAATTACAATAATGGCCAGAAAAACAGATCGCGTATGTTGACCTCGACTCGTCAATCTATTTGCAGCTAACGCCAGTAATTGCGGTTCAAGAATTTCGCATAACGACTGCAGCAAGGCGGATAAGACTAAACAAAATAGATATCTAATACATCAAGCTTAGTGCACAAAATTTGAAGCAATTAAACCTTTTGAAAAAATTATTAGCTATCATTTACCGTATGCGAAGCAATTTTACATGAAAATCTTCAATCTTGAGCACTTTTCAACACCAAGTTTAAACTTCGAAAGAACATTGCTTCAAATCCGGCTTACTCAATTTTTTGTACCAAATGATACATCAAAAGAAATAATTATTTCAGATAGAGGCGATTTATGAAGGTCATTTCTCAAGTTAATAAAAAAACAGAGACAAAAACCATAGTGAACCAATTACTTACCAATGAAAAGGACCAACCCAAGTAGAAAAGCTTTCTGCTCAGTCCGCATTCCGAGAACGCCTGTTTGGGCACAAAGCAGCGCAAGTGTTAGTGCTCCAGTGTAACCACCGTTGGCCAGAACATGCCTATGACCTCGCTGTCCACCAACAATACACTCCGCAATAGTCAAAATTTGTTTACAAAAACAGCTCACAGTTAGTGCTAAGGCTAACAGTGACAGTGGCGTGTTCGTGCTTTCTGCTACCGATGCTAGAAATATTGCACCAATTTCATCAAAATCTCTTCCTTTTCCAGCTAAATGTACATAAACCCGGGCAAAAAACATTGTTAACCAAGCCAAGATTAATATTTCTGCGAACCGTAAACGATACCACAAAATGGCAGCACCTGCAAATCCTTCTGTCTTCAATCGTTAAATTTCATATAATGATGCTGTTAGCAGCGAACAAACTGTTATTGAGTTAATACTTCTACTTGGAAAAAAATCTCAGATGCAACCGCGCATTCAAAAACGATGCACAAAATACATTTTGCATTTCACACAAGGAAAAACAGTTAAGAATGAGTCGCGACTGTCGATTACGATCGAAAAATATTGTAATTGCCCAAAGATTTATAAATATCAAAGCACCAATGATGACAATGGCTTTGATGAAATCCATAACCAAAAACTGATTGGAGTTGAATCTTACCTTCTGAATTAACGGGAATCAACTAGTTGTACATTGTACATAATTTAATCCTTATTTTTCATTTGAAAATTTGAGCTTTGAAAGAGAATATTTGAAAACAAGATCAGCACTCACCTCCTCCAAAACCTCGAAGAATTATGATAACTTTAAGATAGCGCACAGATTGACGTATAGACAGTAACAAAGCTGGGGTTTTGTTTAAAACATATATGCAAATTACCAATATTGCCAGAGAGCAAGCCACATTGTGAGCAATGATTAAGCGATCGATAGGTACTGCACACATTCGAGCAATTATTGGTATCAAAAAAACTGCAAGCGTAACTCGTGCAATATCATTTTCCAAGTTTAGGAGGCAACTCTGCACTACACAGAGTACCAACTGAAAAGTATCACTTCACAGTTATCAAGAATATCAGCTTATACAGTGGAAAATATTCATGGAAGGAAGCACTATCCTTTTATAACTAAAACAATAACAACAATAAATGATAGACCTGGGCCAAAATATGAAATCCGTGTCGTTCTAATTTTGCGAAATCATCCAACTTTAAATCAGGATCACCATTCTGTTCCAGTTGAACATATCGAGCTGATAGATAATGCGCCACAGAAAACAGCAATAATGAAGATATGTGAAAATAAACTTGCACAAGCTTGTAGAGAGGAAGAAGAAGAAACATAAGTGATATAAGCACGACTGAAACCAATGAAATTTCACCGACAAAAAAGTGGATTATTTTTTTAAAGCATGCTTTGATATCAATTACAACAGCTCTTAACAAAATTATCGAGGAATTCGAGCAAATTTTCAGACATATAAAGTCGAAATCAATTGATAATAATAATACGAGAGTAACAGAGTAGCACTAAGCATACAGAAATAGCGAAAACTTAAATTAAATGCTTACCCGTGTAACTCAGTATTTGTGCCCCAGTTTGATCAAAATTTCTCGTTTGAATAAATTCAATAATTTGATCCACTTCCAGATATGATGAAAATGATTGCTTGAATAAATCAGGATTGAAGTGTATCTCCCGATTACGCCACCAAAGTTCGAATAGTAAAAGGCCTGGTAATCGTAAGGCAACTTCCATGCAGTGTAGAAATGTTGTTCGAGCACGAACACTAAGTATTCCCATCGCTTCACCAACATCCATCTCATTGGCAATTCATCAGACAAATGTTGCCTTAATTTCTTCATTCATTTACATGTTTAGATTCAAAATTTTTTGTTAGCAAAAAAATAATTAAGAAATGTGATCGCAATTAAGCCTAAAACGTTGCCAAGGTATCATCACTGCAAAAAGTATTTCTTCCATACCACTATAGAAACATTTGAAGCAATCGTAGAAAGAATAATTTGGTATTGATATGAGTGAGCCAAATGAATTAACATGAATAAAAAAAGAAAACTGTCTTCCTGATATGTTTGCAGCCAATTATTACCAATTATCACCACAATCATTCTCATCACTTTACTGCAATCGTGGATTTTCCTTACATAATTCACTTTCGAAAATAGAAGCTTTTCAGTTTTTACATCCCAATCTATTGACAGTGTTGACGACCGTCTTAAAAGAGTATTTGGGGGATTTAAATAGTTTCATAAATCTATAGACTGTAATTAAAATTTGAGACAAGGAACCTTCTTCATATTCAAAATAACAAGTTACTCAACAGAGCAGTCACTTCTGAAAGAAGTACAAATCAACAAAAATCAAATTTAATATTAAAAAACAGAGTGAGAAGGGAAGAGAATTATGGAGCTTTATAGTTAAGAATGAAAGCATGAAGGAAAACACAGCTCATCATAACGCGCTTCGTTCAATTTTAATCAGCTGACCTCATTGCCTGCGAGTAATACTGTCATAACACTCAATACTGTATAAAAAACAATATAAAAATAATGTGAAATCAACTGCCAACTGCGAAACACATAAAATCACACTAATATAAAGAGTCTACGAAACATAAATATGTGTATTAAATAATTGGTAGAAATACCACTTCTCTCAAGCAAAAACTTGAAAAAGTGTTGATCATATGAACAATCCACTGTATCATCAAAGCTTCGAAAGTTCATCTTGCATAAATCTCTAAATATCACTTTCTCCGATCTTTGGAGCTCTGAAAGGAACTACAAAGCCTGCAAAAACTACAGCATAAAAGGTAAAAGCGTATACGAACATTATGAGTCGTCATTTGACTAGCGCTGTAGTTATCGTCTAATGCATAGTTAAGTGGTCTTTGGTATTAAGTGTCACTTTTCATTTTAATATATTGAAACTGTAACGTTTTAAAGCAGTGGAAAGTTTCTTCTCGAACGGCAGTAATGTTAGGGTAATCACCAATCACCACATTATTAATCATCATTAAATAAATAATTTATAGAAGTCAAACCAAACACTTATTATTCAATAAATAACTGTTAGCATTTTGAGGTTCAACAACAACCATCAATTGAGCTCCCTTTGCTAATAGTGAATCCGAAAATGCAACAAAGTCATTAATTGGCACTGGTTCGTCCAATTTTGAATCGAAATTGAAAAATCCGGCCACACCTATTTGCCGCACAGTGAACCAGTGATGTCCTGTCCAGAACGGTATAAAGCCACGTGATGTGATATTGAATATGAAACCGAAAATCTTCGAAAAATCCAAACAGGCAGTGGAACGCCTCGAATCAAACCAGTTTAACAGTAGATTTCTTGTTTCCAATGCCGCGATCAGCACGTTAATATCGTAATTGCCAAAACCAAACATTGAACGGTGTCGATTGAACCAGCGCGATCTATGTAAATTCTCCGCGATACAATCCAAATCAACCTTTTTAAATTCATTTCTCTGCAACAAAGTATTCAGCGTATGCATCAAACAGAGCTGCATTTGTTGTTTCTCGTGATATAATTGTCCTGTGGGGACTACACTTCCAGACGATTCATCAATACTCATCTATAAGAAATCATCACTTTTTGGTGGTGTCACAAATTATGAACGCTTAACGACCTTCGAAGTTATATTTCTTATAAGGATCAACGGATGAAACAAGTTCGTATCACTAAAAGTCACATTACTACAATTGACCTTAGAATGAAGCAATATAAACGACAATAGCCCATTACCGAAACCTAGACCATACATAATAATTGAGGAAGCATTGCACATTATGAGGACTACGATATCTTTACTCGAAATATTAGGATGTTGCGAATCACCACTATTTCAAATAAGGATGCATGGCCAACTGTACTATAGTGCGGATTTCAATAATACCGACAGCAGGACAACACGTAATAGTACTAAAATTTTATTTCAGACCAATACCAAGAAATGGCTCTTAGGAATAAATTACATCATTCTCCTCAATTATCTTACTTTTCCGTTATTTCCTGTCGTACTTCATTTCTTTTTAAAACGAATTGCTAATCATCCCATGCACAAATTCTTTTTATTCATCCAAAAGATGTCGACAGCAGAGATTCGCCTTTAAATTAAATGTTTGGACCAATTTCATTTCTTCCACGCAGACGAGCAATTTAGTGACATTAAATTCTAGAGCATTAGATTCCTTAGATAATTATACAAAGGGTATTTCGCCGTTTTTCATTTCCTACTGCTATTTCGCCGTCTTTCATTTCCTACTGCCTATTTCCCTTTTTTGATTTATTTATAATGCGAATGCAGTGGCACGACAAAATTATCAAATAAAACTGAATTGGTAAACACAGATGCATTTTCCGAAAAAAAAACATAATAATAGAGACTAAGAAATCACTTACTATTACGACATGCACTAAAAGACAAAAGTTTTTCCTTGACATGTATAGTTCCTAAAGTGTAGAAAACTGAAGAAATGTCAGCATAGTGGTTTGAAGTGATCCTAAAATTTAAATAAATTTTCAGTTTTTATGCACTCAGCTTCATTGCCTTTATATGAATAGTAGGTGCACTGATGCGGTGTATTTGAAATCACACGATCGTGAATCTAAATTTTCTTGGTCTTCATCATATTTATTTCTTCTCGCTCCTGAGTTGGGCCCTTTTACCCTGTCCAATTGGTGGATAAAGCATTTTCCCGCGTGCTAACTTAAGTCGATTCTGAAATATGTAAGAAGCTGCACTTTCTCAAATCATTGTAAGCTTTACCGAATGATGATGAAGAAGTCATAAAATCTGACATTATAACAAAAATAAAAATTTTCCTTTTTGTTTTATGACAGGGAAAACGAACTTTGAGCACTATTAGTGTTTTTGCCAAATTCAAATCCAGTGCAGTTCAAAATCTCACAAAGTAATATTGTAATATTTACCTGCACTTCTCTCCATTCAACATGTTCATCAAAATAAAGACCATGGAATCGCAACATTTTTGTCAGATAGTGGAACATTGGTTGATTAGGATAATAATCAATCTAAAATTATAAGATTTCTTTCTGTCCCACTTTTATTCAGCTTCATTTATAAGTTTCGGGACTTACTACATTCAAGGACATCCTGGTTTTTAGAGGTTCTGCTTTTTTTTAATAAGCATCAGTACTAGTGATCCGATTTAATGTTGCAAACCACATTGGAAAAAAAGTCGCAGCTTCAAAACCCACTACGAAACTTGGTAGCTTATACTCAGTTATTCTTAAATAGTAATCATTATCGATGACTAGGACTAAGGCCTGATGTAAGCGACTAAAACAACGAAAAATATTGAGCTGTTGATAATGGTACCATACTGACTTTCACTAAAGTGTAAACAAAAACATTTTAACAAGAAGTACTAAACATTAATTAGGTGAAAGAACTAACTGTTTTGAATGACTGTTGCTCCAACGGCTCTTCCGACATAATCCTTACAACTTTGAGGTTTTTGGATGCGGTTGTTCGTTGTGGTTCAGTGAAAATACGTCTCGATAAATCATGCATATGCCTCCCATACTCTGTTTTACAATTGATTCCACGCGCAGCTAAATTGATACGTGATAGCATCGTTTTCACCGCAGCCCCTACAAAATTGCATATGCCGTATGTACGTTTTCTTCGTAAATTTCACAGATTCTTCATTGATTACTTTTTCATTTTCTTGTAGTACGAGAATGCAGTGTTTTCTGAATTTATTGTTACACAACATATACAACCGCTATCGTCTAAGAAATGCTTCTCATAGTCACTCTCATTAGGAACTTAAACTATCTATTTGAAATGAAACATCAAACTGATAAAGCATTTCATTACAGTGAAAGGATTCATAAAACACACAAACAGCCAACTCTGTAAAAGTTACCGGTTTTTGATAAGCGTAACGCATGATTCGTGCGTGTCGCCAATGTTTTTGTTCTCATTGCCATTGTTCCTGAAATTATATATAGCGATTGAACTTTCGCATATGTTTTTAAGCAGCAACGTAGTTTTAATGAGTTGTTGGCCAGTTAATTAATTAATTATTCCATTTCCTACTGATTCATGTCTCTTTCTTTGGGAACAAATGCAAACAGTATGAAATTTCAAGAATATCAACCAGCTCATCCTTCAGCGATGCTATACACCAGCAACAGTGTGAAACGACGGACACGAAAGATCCAACCGACACGAAAGATCCACAAAATACTCTTCTGTTCATTACTTTTTAAAATGCTTATCAAAGACATGAGTATTATTTTCATATTTGCAGCTACTAATATCGCTATATATCGTTCAAAACTTTTTCAGTAAAATATTAACTGTGTAAAACAGCATTCCGACATCTATTAGCAATGAATATCAAAAGGAACGATTGGCAAACAAAATTTTGTTTTAATTCGACGACAAAATTGGAGTACGATTCAAATTTTAATTTCTGAATATTTGAAATAATCGATGATATCTGAGACCAGTGGGCAAGTCCTCCCTCTTTTTTCCTGATGATAACATTTACTAGCATTCTTGTCTACCAGCCCACACATTCTGCCTTTTACTTCCCGCGATATCCAATACTTGGCTATGTTATCTCTCCTTCATTTCCGATCTAACCCAACATTTCTAATCACGACGTCTTGCCCTTTGGAGAGAGTTCCCCAACCCTCGAAGCACTCAACATAAGTTACCCACCAGGCAGATCACAATGCTGGAACAATTACTTGTAGGAAGGAAATTTTCATCTCTGGTCCAACCGTAGTGACATATGGAGGCAGAAAAGAGTGTTGTGGTTGTTTGATTAGCCAAGGAATCGCCTACGAATTGAGGGCGGTGGAGTGTTGAAGTTAGGATTGAGAAGGACGTGAAGTAGAAAGTGGAAAGAGACGTGAAATAGTAAGCCTCACATTCTGTATGCTATGGAGGATGAGGCTGAGGTACTATTATTTTTAATTTTTTATGTACAGAATTGGTTTTGAACCAAAAATTTGTTTGAGCTCATTACATTTGTTCTTGTCGCAACGAAATATAGAAGCGTTTCTTCTGTGATGTTTTGCTTTTGGTGCTCTGAGCTTTGAGCACTAGTGTTGAACTAAAAGAGCGAACTGTAAAATCAGAATATTTCATGCTGCATAGAAATTGGGCGATTTCGCCAGGAAATCAGTATTTTCAGTATTTGTTGATAGCGAGCGAAACAAGCGATCCATATGCAACAGTACTGATCAACCCAAAAACGGGTGTTTCTCAATGGTCTTATAGGGGGAATGAACTGCAAGGAGCTGTAACAGGTTGTAAAATTTTCCCTCAAAAAAGAGGAGTAAGAAAACCGAAAAACATTTCAGTATTTGCATGCGAGCAATTATTTTCAGGATCTGTTGAAATGCTTGGCAGCAATCGTATTTTTGTGGCAATCAAAGACCAGCCGTTACTACATCTCCTTTCTATGGATGGCAGTAAATGCCTCCACGTCAAGAATGTACTTCCCAAATCAGTGCGCCACTTATCTGTAACGCCAGATGGTAGCGTACTGTTCGTTGCGATCAACAATCAGATATACGTTTGGATTGTAAGTTGAATGTACATATTTTTAGTCATTTATTTCAACTGCTACTACTCTGTCTCATACAAAGTTACAGATTGGTACAGGCGAACTTATTGCTATAATTAATGGTCATTATCGATCAATATCTAGTCTTCTGCTCAATTCTGACGGTTCACTTTTGGTGTCTGGGGCAGAGGATGGCAGCTTATGTGTGTTCGTTGTTGCTGAGTAAGTTTTACTGATGGAAGTTTTTTCTATGCGACTTGGAAAAAGCAAGTGAAGATATTTTTCATAATTTACTTACTTTTCCGTAAACTTTTTTAGGGATCTGCTTCATTATTGTTTATACTTTCAAAATAAATGGTAATTAAATGGAATACCGATGCCTGTTTCTCCCTTCAGGTCATTACTCCCTACTACAAATCGTCCTTCACCTCTTTTAGATGTTATATGGGTAGATATTATATTCGATGTTCTATTGAACAAATAATCGCAAGGCAAAAACAAAAACATGCGGAGTATGAAATCACTGACGTGAATAAAATAGACCAGAGGGTTTTTTTGTTTCATATCATTGTTTCAGGTTGATGTCAGCAAACCCAACTTTAGAACATGCCATCCCATTCCGTCATTGGCGACCGCATTCTTTATCCGTTAGCAATATTGCAATAACACGTCACAGTAATGCTCGTATATTATCTTGTTCCAAGGATCATACCGCTGCATTCCACTCAATTACAGCTGACATCTGCTTGTTAAAGGTAAGTTAGGGTAAAAAGCTGAATTTATATCACCTCCATACAGTTTACATTTCCTTACTCTTGGCATTTTGATTTATTGAACTTTATGATTCACTCGTTTGAAGGTGAATCTGTACGTCTTTGCGTCCCCTGTTGTTTTGTTTTATCAGATGAACCATTCAACAATATGCAACCATTAACTAGTTTGTTTTTACTTTAGATCTCATGTGATATGGCTTTATCATCTTGTGCAATTGATCCTGCTGAATGTCGATTGTTTCTAGGCACCGTCAACGGATCCTTGGTGCAACTAGATCTTTATTGTTTGGTTTGTCTATAAAAGAAATTGATTTAGGAATTACTGACGAAAAGAGATTTATTCTGGTCTTTTAGAACAAAACAGAAGTATCGCTTGTAATCGAAGAAACTGCTGGAAATTTGCCACTATTCAAAGGTCATTCTGCGGAACTGGCATGGTTGGATGTAAATCATGACGGCTCTTTGCTGGCATCCGGTGACGTATCCGGTGTTTATGTGATTTGGGATATTTCGAGTCGGCAGTGTTTGAAAACATCCTCTCTAACGGGTACATTTTACGAAATCTTAACCAGGGCTACACATCATCTACGCATGTTCTTTTAAGGACCCATCTGCAAGTTGAAGTTTAACATGCGATGGAAAGCTACAGAAGGAAGTGGCAAAAAAAAGCAAACACTTCCTATCTCTAATCTCAAACGGCAGAAGGAAAGAAAGTTACCATCGCTTGTATTGTTGCAGGATGGAATATCAAGTGAAAAAGTACTGCCGTTTTCAACTTATTTCGTTAGCTGTAAAAACACTTTAAAAGCCAGAATTTTACTCATGATTTGCTGGTAATAAGCTGCCCTAAATCTAAAATAAAGTCCGATTTCATATCATATAATTTAGTTTTTTTTTTGCCTTTTCAGGACGAATTTTATGCTGCACATCTGGACAGGATCATATCTGATTACGCTAAAGTAGAAGTAAGCATCTAACGTATAATCCTTTTTTACTCTCTGCCATATGTAGAACCTATATGTGATTCTATTAATTGCAGTTTTTGTTTTTCAGTGACTTATATGATTTACTAGAAGTAACATATTTAGAAAAGCAGGTCAAAACTGGAGTATAAAGAAAAATGGCGTCACTCGCTGTAACTATAGTCCAGTAAGGCATCAGGACTACGTTAAGATCAAGGAAGAATTAGATTTTTAAGTAAACTCTCTTCAGATCCAAGTTAATGCTTCCACCGACGATGAACTGCACAGTGAATACATTACTGAAGACCTAAAATCAGCGGAAGGCGTAGAGACCTCAGATTCGAAAATAATAGAATCCTTGAAAGCAAAACTAGCAATGTTGGAAAAAGCTAATCAAGAAATTTATGATTTTGCAGCATCGTTGATCATTGATCGGAGCTGATTCGATCATAAAATGCTCGAAAATAATACTGTTCCTAACCTGTGTGCGTAAGTAAAAGGTAATTAAAAATCCTTGTCTTTGTGAACTAAAACTGTGGACGAATGCAAAGACAAATGCTCATTTTCATAGTGGTAAGCTACTATGAGATAATGTGAAAAATACTTCTGTAAGATGTTGAATATTCTTGAGCTTTTTTTTCCGCACCAGTAATTCTTTATCTTGTATACTTTTCTAACACCTCTTGAGATGCCCAAGAATTTTTTTTTACTTGCTTAGAAGCGTTTGGAAGGAAATACTATTTCAGCGCAAACAGACTTTATATAGTACAATCAAATGTATGTACTGTAGTAACTGGCCTCGTTGTACCACAAAGAGAAAAGGATTATGATACACATCAGTCAGTTAAAAAAAAAAGAAAAAAGATACGATGTACTAACAAATTATGCCTCTGAGAAAATTTTAAACGAAAATAAAACAGTATATATCTTAACAATGAACCGTAAGGAGAGATCCGCAAGACAAACCAAAAGAAAAACATTAAAAAATGAAATGAGCACAGCCCAAGAAAAAACTGAAATAATCACTAGAAGTAGATGGAGATAACCGAATACAAACAGATATCAGCTAAAATATGTTTGCTTACATGAAACGTCATTTCAACAACGCGAAGAAAATGAGTCTCAAGACGAGATAAATGATGAAATAGCAATCCTGTAAGGGTACCAAACTCACCACTTCTAGCAAATTTCGATAAACTTTCTTTTCAAGCAGTACATAGAACTATACCCACATTTCTACGGTATTCCCGATTGTCGTACAACGAACCCCTTATAACAAGACGTCACCGGGGAAAATCTTCATACATAGATGTCCACAAATAGAGCAAAACCTCCTCCTGGAAAAACTAGGCAAAGGATAAGCTGGCCAAATCTAAAATTTGATAGTATTACGCAAAGGGGAGCAAAGTCCCAAGCTAAGGTTAAAAATTAAGGTCTTGGACAGAACCATGAAAAAAAACGGAAGGTGAGTCACAGATATTACCAAGACAATTCTTCGAGTCCCAATATAAATGCACAGTTTTATGAAATTAGTCACGGGATCCAAAACAAAACGAAACAAAGCTTGGCTGCAACAATGACTACAGCAATATTTGCACCGGATAAGATCTCACCGTACATGAATTATAATATTACGATACGTCGGATTTTTTTACCGGAACAATTAATTATTCATTGTAGAAAAAAAGGCGCACCTCACCGAAGCAATGAAAAAAACAAACCAAACCCATAGATATGGAAAAATGAACCACAACAAATGTTTAAATGGATTCCAATATATTTTCAAGAAAACAGCTCAGGAATTTCTTGGAGAACTAGTATTAGTCGACCTTGGGCTGAATTTGCTGTTTGTGAAATGGAAAGCGTCTGAACTGACACTGGGTAAACGTGATGCCGGAGGTGGACTCACCGAATTCGGCGGTATCGTGGAGGTGGAACGCGTAACTGAACTATCAAACAGAGAATGCTCATCCTGAGATGAGTGTGTGATGAATGTATACGGCCTAAAAATCCAGGTATATGGTTATGAAACAAAGATATAATCAACAAATCACTATCACTTTCCTATTTTAATCAAAATGACTATCATTTTGACTATCATGACTATCATCAAATGACTATCATTTTCCCACTCTCATTTTGAATTACCAATTATTTGAACAAAGTATAAAATAAAACAATAGGTGGTTTTTCCAATAAAGGTGAAAAAAATGGTCAAGTGCAGTAGGTCGAACTATTTGCAATCGACAAGCTCCATCATTAACACTTTCTTAATGCATTCTTCTTTATCTGACAACATACACGATTCTATTCGTCCCATCCGAAAAATGCGATTAATCGTATGAAGTATTATCACAGCGGCATAATCATTCATTTAAATATCAAATATACGCACGACAGTAATAAATGTAAGTATTGCTCACATGTAAGTATTGCTTGCACTGTTGAAAATCTCCTGTTCTGCTGTTACATGTGACTTTGGAATGCCACTAATATCACTGAGAACGGGTGGCAAAATAGCACTACTTGCAGGACTACAGCGTGTTGTTTTTACTGAGAGCTAAAAAAGTACCACTTTACATTTCAAAACCTAAAAAGTTGTTTACTTGAAAGCCATAATACGATTTGTCTTAGTTTACTCACAACTCCTCATGCGCTATATTAAATAATTAGTTGATATAAATAAAAAGGAATATACCAAGCCTCGATTATCTCCAGTAGATGGTAACTTCGACGGGTCATCTGCACCATTTCCAAATCGTCCTCGTAGATTCATTAACTCAACGTCTTTTAGACGCAAATCTGCTTCCTTTGCAAGTAGCTGTTCTGTAACATAACTTCCGATAAACAATGGTAATTAATGGTATTTCCGATTGAATGTTCTGCTGAGAACGACTATGGAAAGAAAAATTGAATTGATTTCTGCAGAGTTAGCTATTAATAATTGCATTGGTTAGCAAAACTCACATTGTGATGATATTCACGGTCTTATCAGCTTACATCCTTCACCAACATACACCACGAGAGAATCATACAGCTTAAAAACAAAAATTCACTGAAAACTCACTTTGAAAATCAGCCATCTGCCCTCGCGCTTCATTTAAAGCATAGAATAATTTCTGCTTTAGTCGATTCTCAGCTGATAATGATTTCTCTAGATGAGTGTTCTTCTCACGAATAACTCTAAGCGCCGTGTGCAGCTCCTGAAATACGTTTCACTATGAAATATTAACTCCTGAAATTGTTAAAGCATGAAAAACTAACAATATGATCAATTTTGCTAGTTTAATTTCTCTGAAGTCAGTCTCAATACAACTTTATTTTGCAACGTCAAAATGTTTTCTCTGAAAATAAATCATATATGTGCACAGTAACTTTGACTGCACCGGAAACAAGACTTTGAGGGAGATATTTCCTACGGCTCATCAAGTTGACACAAACTTGCAAATCATTGCTTTCTTTATATTGACGTAACTGTCGCAGCTCCTCTTCATGCTCATTTGCAAGTTCCTCTTTAGCCTTCAATTCACGTCGAACGATTCGCAATTCTTTTTCCAAATCAGCCTTTTTTGTTCTGCATGTTTCACCGCATTCAACAGTTCTACAAATAAAACACAAAACTTTTCACGAAAGAAAACTGTAGAACTGACAGCTCTATTATTCTAGTCTTGAAAAAACTGCTGCTCAGTTTAATTATGGAGAATAGTATAATAACTGAAAACATCAGCCTTTTCACCTTAAGGATGTGAAGACCATATTACATTAAGTAATCCGACTGTCCTAGTAATCAATTTTCTTGACGTTTTGCATAAAATGAGTTATAGAAAATAGCGATGTACTCACAAGCTACATTAGCGAGCTACAGTACATAAGTTATAGTTTACAAGAAAACAAGTTATAGTTTACATACTTGTTTGATTGTGCTGCGGCTAGTGCACGCGCAACAGCGTGCTCTTCCTTAATTTTGCTACGCTTCTCTGCATTTAATTCTTTTTCTAATTCATTTTTTTTCGTTTGTATATCAATTAATTTCTTTTCCAACAACTGCATCGCTGATTTATCTTGTTCGCGTGCCTTCATTATATTTGCAAGTCTGGAAAAGAATCATCGTTTTGTAGCATCTAGCTTCTTTAAAAAAAGGAAATAGAACTTTACTTTAAATTCAAAACCAAGAAAATGCTTCATAAGGAAACTAACTTGTTTTCGCTTTGCTCCTGCTTTAATTTTAACTGCTGTAATTCTCCTTTTAGTTGTTTTTCTCCACTAATATACTGCTGCAGCATGTAACGTAATTCATTTTCTTGTGATCGTGCAGCTCGCAGATCACTGCGCAACATTTCTAGTTCATCAGCACTAAAATATATGTAATTAATCCTATGACACTTCATTCAAAAAAAGAAAAAAAATCATGTTGCATCAACTTGTATTCAAGATGATTATAAGCCTTGTTCATTTGCTCCAAACACAGCTTGGAGAATTTAACAGTTTGGAATATACAAATGCGCACTAGAACTATTGCACATTTGAATTTAAATAAGTTTTCTATATGTGAAATTTCATTTTCAATTCAAAATGAGTGATCTCCATTTTTGTGATGGATTACTGAGATATGACTAAAGCAAACAACAAAAAATCGATGATGTAGTATATATGAGTTCATACTAAATGCTACAAATAAAAATCTAAATTAAAAATAAAAATTATGACGGAACTAACTCATATTCGCTGGCCTTCCCATCAAAAGTAGCAGCATTGCCTGTAGACGAACCACCATTCTCAATGACATTAACACTAGTAATCGATATGTTCTGATAACCCGTACTGCTAACAGAATTGTACATTTGTCTATCCTGTTGTATATTACCAGCCGCCAGATTCAATAAATTATTATTTAACGCACAATTAGCACCCAGTGTTGACGACGATAACGTAGTTCCAGGTGTCAGTGGCGATAAGATGTAGCCAGCATGATTTTGAACATGACGTCCCCGTGAACGTCCACCTTTTGCTCGAGAATAATTTCCCGAACTCGGAATTAACACTAAAATGTAAACGGATTTTCGGAAAGCTCTAGATGCTGTTTTTTCTTCAAGAGAAGCTTTCAGAACCAAATATATTTCAAAAGATTTCGCAATCATTCAATAATAACAGAAAGTGAAATACCTCTACTTTTTTTGGAACTATTTGGATGGCGATGAATAGATCCTAAACGATTAGAACTTGGTGAAGCATCATCTGGCTGAGATGAAGTTTCTTCCTGCTCCATCATTTCATCCTCGCTTTCCATTTCATTTGAACTCAGTGATATATGATCATCTAACGATGATGACGGTGACTCAACAACACCACCTAATATATACAACACTGTGCTCCAAAGTAAATCCCATAACACGCGCCACAAATACATTCTCGGTGTCACCAATAATGATACTGTAAAAATACGAACTCTAAGGATGAAAGAGTTTTCAGAGCGGAATATAAATCGACTTTGATACATTTTTTCAACCTTTGAAGGAAAGCTATGCCATTGGAAGACATAGAACTAATGGTTTCTGTTCAACACATAATTTTCCCAATAACGAATAACCCTTTGAGCCACGGGAGCACTTCTATCACATAAACTAATTATGATTTAGTCTATGCTTGCTCTTCAATTGAAGTTAACTGATAAAGCGAAACGTTTCCGAATTCTTCAGTTAATGAGCAAATTAAGAGATTACGAATGTAAAATTGATCGATTTATTATTAAAAACACAATTATTTGAAAATGACAACTGTTTTGATGTAAATAAAAATTAGTCAAGCAAGTAATTTTGAGAACATTGGCTAACAAGTTTATTCCCTTCGGAAGTTGCCATTTACTTTTCTTGGTAACACAATACAAAAAACTGAAGAAAATTTATTACTAACGAACCGGAACTAGCTGTATCATCATCATCGTTATTTTCTCTTACTACCCTTCCCTTTCGCGTTGATGAAGATCCACTTGAAGGAACAGAAACTTTTTTGGAATTAATGCTAGTATGTTTCCAGCTATTTTGCTTCCAACCCGCTCCACGTGAGTTCTTTCGTTGTGTTACGGTGGCTGATGAAGGTGATGCGCAAATAGCTAGATTTTGTAACGAACCAGGACAAATTTCAGACTCATATTCTGAAAAAAAAAAAATGAATAGATTTACTTCAATTATACCAGACAAAAGATGAAATGTTTCCCGCTTCTAATATAGTAAAGCAAAATATGCAAAAATAGTTGAAAACGCTTTTCAAAACAAGAGATAAAACTGGCTCGATTTTGATTCACTAACAGCTTCAAAAGAGAAGGAATCGATAAATGCACGTACAGAGGTAGTAACAAAAGGGAAAGTAAAAGATAAAATACGAGAACTATATCAAGAACTATGTAGCTTACACCACTACTTATAAACTATCGAATGTTATACTTACGATTTATTCATTATAATACGATCCACAAATTTCAGAAAATAGCCAAATGTGCTATATACAATAGTTTTCCCCTAAAATGCTTTCCAAATGCAATCAACACTGAGCATTAGAGCTTCCTAACAATGATGCAGCACACGCAAATCAGACCAAATGCAAAAAGAAAGCAACCTATCTGCTCCTGGTCCTGTAATACGCTACTATTACAATGCGAATATATTTTCGGCCCTTCATATAATGAAGGTAATGCCTCTATTAGAAGCTTACAATACATTTCGTTGGCAAGTGACACTTCACGTTGGCGTCTTTTTACTCTCCACAATCTGTAAGAAGGGCATTATATCTTTCTGTAATAAATTAACAATAAGGTCGTAACTCTGTGGCCAATTAGTGCAGAAGTAGGAATGATGACACTCCTGTATCTGGCCAACATGCAGTTCAAATACTTGCGTCTCAAAAAATCTGAAATTTGAGACAGTATTTATGTTTCCAAAGCAGGCTACTAAAAAATCTCATACCTAAAATAAGTTTTGAGACCAAATCCAAGCATTATGGCCGGATATCCAATGCAGTGTGCAGCAAAGGGTCGACAGAGATCTGAGGTCAACGAAGAACTGTGTGTAAAAGCTGTCACTAATGAGATACCAAAGCGACCCAAAAAACCACTGACAGGATCAACAAATCGTGCTGGTGGATAGCATTCTTTCGGAGAAACACTTGTGACCATCTCAATGTTGGTTGATAAGTCACGTTCCAACCAATTCGTCAATACACCACCTGAAATTTCATTAGTTTATGCAAATAATTCGACAAAATTTAAACTCAATACAGCAAGAGACACGAACTAATAGGTTCGAATAAGCTATCATAATAAAAGCAAAACAAAATGAAATTTCTGAAAACATTACCAGTAAGAAAATTGAGTGTCGAACCAAGCGTCGAACCTTTTAAGAGCTGCAACGGCGAATCTCCTCGATAACGCCAATTATACTCGAAAAATATTACCGTGATCCATAACAGCAAATGAGCTGAACCAATACCTCGTTCTGCTACAATTATTATTGAGTTCTTAAGGAGTTCGAACCGCTGGATATAAAAATAGGAGGAGATTCAAAAATATTGAGTCTAATAAGAGACAGCATTGAAATTGCATTTCACGAATTTTTTATACCTGTCTGCCAAACTAGAAGAATCCATACATATGTACTTGAAAGGAAGAACAGCAGCTGAACGGGAAGAAATATAAAACAAATAAGATCCGCTGTTACTGTCGCACATACAAAAAATGCAGACAAAGCCTGAAGTTGATAATTTCGAAAAATTTAGTCAAAAATTCAAAATATTTTTGATGCACTTATTTTGGCGGTTATAACGATCATAAAAACAGGTAAGAAACATACAGAATACTGCAATGAGCTAACGAGACCCTGGAATCGAAATGAATCGTAGCAATTGCGCATAAGTAACCAAACTGGATATAATAACTCAAAACGGAACCCGATCAATAAATCAAGCGCAATACAACTCAGCCACAGCAGTACAAATTTCACGTATGCGAATCCACCGAAATGTCTGTAAAGTGTCATGTTAGAAGTGGTGAAGAAGCAGCAGCACACCATCAGCGATGCATATCTCGGGCCAGAGGCAACCTGGAACTACATAATTCTGTGCTTCATTATATATGAAGAAAAAAATGCCCGGTAGCTAGTTGATACGAGTGGATCAACGCACTTGCGACTACTCCCTCTACAAAAATGCATAAAAATTTTAACGGTCAACTTACTGCATCATAGAAACGAAAAATAACCTCCAGAGCACGAACTACCTTGACAGCATGAACTACTATGTAAAAATATTAAAGCTCACTTACCCACAACACATTGTTTCCGCGATACGACCACGTCCCTTTAAATTTCTGCGCAATTTTGGCATATCAATGGTTCGTGTTGTTCTCTTCATCATTTCTGCAGCCGACTAATCTCTCAGGCAGCACTGAAAAGTGTTAATTTCTGTTTTTTTACAAAAAGGAGAAGCGAGGCGTAGGGTAAACATTTTAACGTTATTTCCTTGACCACAGAAGCTTATCAAAGTAAAACACCACCATACAATATAATTAACCTTTTGAATTGTTATGTAAAGAATCATTTTTCTATCCCTACTTTTACTGCACAAACTCGTATTAAAAAATCAGAATAATTTAATATCTACTCTGCGTTAAACCTGTGAAAACAGTGAATAACAAGCATACGTAAAAGTGAGGAAACAGACGTGACGTGGAGCAAGTTCATAACATTGAACAGCTGACAACATCGCAGATTATTCCCGAAGTTATATGAAAACAGGTTTATGGTCCTAATGGAAAAAGCTATTGGAAAGCCACTGCGTACAAGAGGAAAGAGCGGAGTTGTTTACTCCCTTCACAATTCCAGCATAACAAGAAAACTGTGAAACCGCAAGGAGCATCATCTGAATAATCCAAAATACTACTTGCAGTGTGGATCAACGATATTAAACATACTTTTCTTACCAATATTGGTATGAATTTTATACTCATAATTAGACAAAAAAATCAAGTCAAGAGTTAACTTAGTTCAGTGTCAAATTAGCCTAAACACTAAATAATCTTAAATGAAAAGCATAGTTGAAACACAGAACTTCCACAAATCTGAAATATATCCACGATATCAATTGTACTGATAGAATACGATGGATCCGTGAGACTTAGCTCAATCAGCATATATCAACGAAACGGAAACAAAAATGATCACGATGAAAAAAAAAGTATTATCGACTTTGTCTTGCTTCACTGCAAGCTTTCAAATGCAGCTGATAGCAATCCCCTAGCAAGCCGTTACCCCGCTCCCTACCCTATTGCCGTGCTACTCTTGCACAACCTTTCTCTCCCCCTGGACTTCTTTCAACTATCACCATCATCCAAGCAATCCTTTCTTCCAACTACATGGCTAAATTTTCTTCTAGCTAGCTCCTTGTTGTATCGACACATAGACCGGCCATAACTACCCTCCTCCGTTACTTCAAGGCCAACTCCCCGCTCTCTCCCTTTTCCAGATGACGGCAAATCAATAGCAGTCACGCTTGATACTTCCTATCTTCACAATCCAGTTACTTTCAAGCCTTATAAGGCCACGGTCCATCTCTATCACTGTCAATCAAATTTCAACTCACTCCAATGCAAGCATTACAGCCTCCCACTTTGTCCTTCACGACGATATCCCACGCAGCAGCTCACCCTTCCTTAATTCATTTCCATCACTTCCACAACTTTATTATTCTTCATCAGCCTTTTTAATACATTTTATTGCACCACGTACGCCAGGAATTGCAAACTGATAACATACTTCCCTTATCCCAGGAATTGCAGGAATTGCAAACTGATAACATACTTCCCTTATCCCAGGAATTGCAAACTGATAACATACTTCCCTTATCCCAGGAATTGCAAACTGATAACATACTTCCCTTCCTGTAATCAAAATCAGTCTGAAGCAAAACCGTTACATTTTAAAACTTAACGGCACGCCATTTTATTCATATGTACTCTCGAGTGTGTCACCAGGAGAAAACTAAGACAACTATAAGCAAAAGATTCAGTGATTAAAGATACAATCTGAATCCACATTTTAGAATCTCTCGCGAACAGTACCGCAAACAGAGTTCATCTGTTCAAAGTCCTTCAACATCCAATTAGCGTTATATTCTCTCACAAATCGTGTTAAGTCTTACTGTAATCTGATATATGAAGGGAAGAATATTCATTAGTTTGTAAACATGATGAGGGTATTATGCTCTGAACAGTGTCTTACTGAGAACCTAGCCGACTTCGAATAGGCGACGAAAACATTCTACCTCCTAAATAATATTCATAAAACATGATAATCTGACGTCTGACAGAGTAAATTCATGAGACGACACACAGCTTACATGTCTTGTCAACAGCAGAGCAGGCGACATAATGAAAAACGAAGTTGTAAATTAGAATAAAAATTTAGTGAAGAGATTTGTACGAGTACTACAGAATAGCATCGCTGAACATAGCTCTCAAGTATACAAGAGGAGCGGTAATAGACAGTTTTTGATTCAGGTGATCGCTAGATCAAAAAGGAATGAAAAACACTTTACATAGCTTTTTGCTATCATTTTTCTTTGGGGATTTACTTCAGTAATATGTGTCTGCTTCATCATTCTCTCCAGTGATAATTCTAGCCGTCGACTCCTCAAAAACTGCTTGCAAATTTCTCTTTGGTAAACCATTTAAAGCTTGATTTGATACAAATCTGAGTGAACATATAAAATTTCAAGTAAAATCTCTTAGTAATTTGTTGATACTGCTAGCTTTCTCTGGCAGAAAGCCCTCTGTAGTGATTTGGACATAATGTTAATAACCTCACCAGAAGGAACTTCTAGCACAATCCCGCCACGCAGAAAAGTAATTCGCAAGGAGAAATTTTTCGACATTAATCCCTAATATAATAATATGTAAAAAATATAATATGTAAAAACAATATAGTATGTGAAAATAATCTGTAATATATAAAAATTAATATGTAAAAATGCTAATACAATATGTAAAAGTCCTAATATAATATGTATATATCCCTAATATAATATGTAAAGGTTTTTCTAGCAACTTATCTTTTCAATGAGGCGAATACCAGGGAATTAAAAAAAAAACATTTGATGATATAATTATTAAATCTACGTAGTGCATTATTCGGTCACTTTGTTTCAAGCCCTAGCCATAGCATGATACTTAGATGGAGTAAGTTCTACAACGAGCAAAAAATCAATCTTGTTATGTAAAGTAAGAATTCAAAAGTTGCTTCCAAAGCTGCATAACATGTAAAATAAGGTCATCGCCTTAGATTAAGCACCAAACACTAAAAGTGTGGATCTCATAATTCATTTTCTAGCAATCATTTGTAGCTTAAATATTTCTTACTGATTTGAATAGTTACCGACAATTTTGTCACCTCATACATTCCCTCATTATCCCTATAAAAATCTTTCAGTCTATGGTTGTTTTAAAAAGTAGTAATAACAAAGTCGTGGAAAAACTTTTTTCTCCATTTAACCGTATTTCAACTTTCTCATTATTTCACTTTCTCTTTGACTGTCTGAAATGTCTTTTAAGCCTCCTTATTACAAAAGCAGCAGATGCTGATAATGATATTTCTGCAGAATTAATTTGATGAATTAAAAGTGTAAAATATAAGATGAATTAAAAATTTATATACTTCTTAAGAGTACCTTCTTAAGAGTATAAAAACTTTCTACCTTCTTAAGAGTATAAAAACTTTCTACCTTCTTAAGAGTATAAAAATTTATATACTTCTTAAGAGTATTATTAAGATGGAAGACAATGCTTAACTCTAATTTTTATTCCTAACCTTAAGATTAGATCAAGCGCGTATAATTCGCTCACAGAAAAACCTCCACATAGAATTTCCTAAATTCTAATTAAAGTGTTACCATTGCCGTATAAAATCTACAAGTAGCATGAAGTGAAAGATTCTATGCTAATCTACTGAGATATATTCATTCATCTCAGACTTCACATCGGCGTATAACTTTAAGGATACCCAAGTATTTCAATTTTTTCCAACATTATAGCATAGCAAAGCAGAAACCTGTAATTTTGTTACACAGCACCTAGTACGAACGGAAGCAATTCAGCGGTATTGAGAAGGTAAAAACAAGAATTTGAACTGTTCCAATTTGACAATAAATGAAGTAATAGAAGTAAAACTGCAACACCAAGGAAGCTAAATAGATGGATCCGGATGGTTGTATCGAAACATTATCCGATTATGCACAGCAGTAAATCACACAGGTCATCCAGTTTGGGAAATATTATAATGCATGGGACACAAATTACACACAGAAAATTTCTAACTTGTCGCCAAATTAAGTTTTTGTTTACAGTGAATCTCCACTCAGAAAATTCTACTTAAATAACTTATTAAGATGAGATTTTGAAACGGTGTTAACGTGCTGTTCGAACTGATTTAACAGTCTCTTCCATATCCAGTCTACAGATGAAAGTGCACAGTTCAATAGTAATCATGCACATCATGGAATGGAGTCACATCATAAGAAAACATCAGATTCTATGTCCTCATGTATGTACCATTCTAACGGTAACTTGACTCATGCAACTTCATGACATAATCTCAACAACAACTATAAAAAGGTTTACAATGATTACTGGCTTCTAATCTCCTCTGTTGCACAACAAAGAAAATCTAGTAAGGCACTACTCATTAGGTCATCGTGGCTAAAATTACGGTTAAATTTATAATTTCACTGAGGAAGCTCAACGAAGTGTTGAAGTTTATCATAAAGGAAGCAATAGATAGCAGGTGGACTATGAGATATGACATGATGGTATTCGATATATATATGAATACCAAGAAGCTGGGTAAACATGGGAAGAGTGAGGTACTACCCAAGAGAAAAGTATCTTACTACCTTCCTCAAACAACAACATGCTTACTCATTGTCTATTGCCTGATGTACTTCCCATCAGTCAGCCATTCTTAACATTTATTACAGTCCAAGCAATGATGCACTGCCAACAAAAATGTGTCATAAACACAACATTGAGTGATTTGTAGGGAACTTCCGATGTTTCATATCGACATTGACACAGGCCGTGTAGGCCGCGATATTTCCAATCAGCCATTATTTAAAATGAAAGATTTGAAGAGTTAACAAGGCTCAGAGTTTCTTGTAATTTTATTGTTGCTGAAATACTTTCTCCAGTATTTCAGCAACAATACTTTCTCCAGCTTCTATTACTGGTATTATTCCAGCGCGCTGACCATCAATCATTAGCCGAGGTAAGTCGCTGACCAATAATCATAAGCTACATTAAATTGCTGACCACTAATTGTAAACTGAGCCAAGTTGTTGACCATTAATTATAAGCTGGATTAATTTATTTATTGGAACAGTTGAGACAAAAGGCCGGGATGAATAGTGTATAATGACAAAATCTGAGTTCATCTATTGTTCATTCGGTTAGGATTGAATGTGAAGAGTCTGGCAGGGTATATCGATATGATAGAGCAGAACTGCGATGGAGTAAGGTAGTCTGAGGATTCTGGTAACTATGAAACAAGCAAGTGAGAATGTTGGTTGCATTCGTTATGATATAAATTAAATACTACGAGGCGAGCAAAACAGATTTGAAATAGCGGCAGTTAGTGGAATGTTACGTGTCATATCAGGCATATTTCCCTAGCCGTAATAACACAGTGAAAAGGAACGAGATCCCATGATTGACAACGTACATCAGGTGGCATGAGGCTTTCAGATATCCAATGGTAAGGTATTTTCTTTCAGATATCCCATGATAAGGTATTTCTCACAAGTACGATATATCCTAAAATGTAGTATGATACTTTCCAAGTTATGGTGTTTTTAGAATTTATTTTAAAACGATACATGAAGATTGAAAGCACAAAAGGTTAGAGTTCATTAGCACGTTGCTATGATATGTTCCCATGACAACTTCTTTTTTCATTTATTATAGAGAGAATTTAATTCATATAATTGTCGTTATTTTTATATGTAGTGCGGAACACAGCGCAAATATAATCACACATCTGTTTAAGAGTTGTCATGGCTTTCTCATCGTTTTTGCAGTTGTAATTGTTATCTTCGCATCATCCTTTTAGATTTAAATAACTTGAAAAGATGTAATTACGTTAGAAGCGAAGATTTAAGTGATTCCAGTAGAATGGAGAAAATGGTGCAAAATGCTTATTCAATCCATGATATAGCTTCAAGTTAGCTTACTGTAAGCTGAATCAAGTGTAAGAGCAAGCACACTTTCTTTATTAACGTACTAGAGTGTGGCAAATAAGTATTTTGTCGGGATAGAATTAATATCTTTACTCATCAAACAAACCTCAAAAAATAATATTGTTAGCATGGTAGCGTGATACTAGTATAGCTGCTTACGCACAAATGCTATTTACGTCACAAGTTAGGATATAATTAAGGAGAAAAAAATTTGACAAGTAGAGAATATCAATAATTATATACAAATCATCTATCCCCTGACATAAACTTCAGCAAGTAATGTGTAAATCGCTAGCACCTTGATTTCAATATACATAAATAAGATTTGAAGATAAACAGATGTTTCCGGCAGTTAAATGTTCACCTTCCATTTTTGCTTCGTTCAAAAATTGCTTTGTATCACTGAACTCTGTTGATTGGACTGATTCACTGGAACTTATCGTCAGTAAAAAAGGCAATGAAACGAAGGGTTTTTCAAACAATAGTCTTGCAGTAACTTTTGTTTTTTCTTTAGAGATTCCATTACGAATTTGGCGGTACTATAGTCAGCAAATTATACCTCATTAGTTGCATCATTTATCATCAGAAATTCTTCTTAGCTATTTATGAGCCAAATATCCATTTTCTTTTGATGAAAAGAATTTTTAGAACTAAAGTAAGCGGAAAATGATACATTTTTATCTGGATTTTATTGACAGTTCTGAAAAAATGGCGACATGGCTTATTTTTGAATAAATGAAACTTTGATCAGTTATTTCAGATGAGTGTGACCGAAAAGATAAGTGATATGCTGTTTCAATGTTGAGCCAATGGAATCAGTTGCCTTTATTTCACTGCCAAATGTGACCGAATATTACTTTTCTCTTCAACTGATATAAATTTTTGTTGTATTTGTAAATTCGTTGGTGCTGCATCACTTTATCTAAATATCTAAACAACTTCTGTTTCACTGAGACTTTTATGATATTTTTGTTTAGCCAAAGTTATTAAATGGAATAATTTGAAAAAAGTATGACGAAAAAGTGCTTCAAAATGTGGACACTTGCTTTCAATGTAAAAAAATCTATGAAAAAATAAAATAAAATGAAAAAATTTTTTATTGCACCGATACAATGTTGTATCACCAGAAGCCAGTACTTTGGAAAAATATTGGCTGCTAACTTCCCCCGACATCACATTTGAAAAGAGTTGAAACATTAGTGTAGGATATTGTCACAAAAGGACGAATCATAATTTGCAAAATTAAAAGAATTCTAGTTTCGCACTTCTGTTATTTTCATCGCACTGATGAAATGGTCCAACATTTCCAGTATCTTATTGTATATCTCCGACAAAATTATTGCGATGGTTGCATTTGCATTTTGTTGCATTTCTCGTTCGTTTTCAAAGTTTTGTTGCTCAGACAGGGAAGCTGTCAATGAATAAAATCGAGTTGATATCAGGTTGATAAAAGTAATTGCCACTTGAAGCTCAACTTTATTAATCAAAATAAGAGCTGTGAAACGAACACATTTCTTACCAATGAGAAATAAGTTTTATTTTTCTTTGGTAGTGATAAACTTCCGATGACCGATCACCATGCTTCTCATCTTCAAGGCCCTCACTTCTTTTAGGCTAATTGCCGGTGCTTTAGGCCAAGTGCGCTGCTAATACTACACATTAATCTTCGCTGTTTTATTGTATAAAAAAGCAATTAATAAATAAATATCAAAGTCGCATAAAACAGGAAATAAGCATTGGTATGATACAAAACTCCAATGTGAAGATTCCAATATCGCGAACGTCCATATTAAATTCTATGTTATACATACTTAATACTTGAAACTTATAAACTTAATAGATACATTTAACAATTATATCTTGATCAAATTCAATATGAATTTACTTCCAGCATTTTTGGACCGTCTACGAGAGAATGTAGCATCTTCAAGTATGATATATCAAAATTTTCTGGAGTATTTTCATTAAATTCGAATATAGTGAGAACATTCTTGAAATTGTTACAAACATGATTTTACGGCAGGAAAATCTGCGATGTCAGCGAGCTAAATTAGTATAAATATTATCGATCTTCTTCCAAAGGCATTAATTCTCCACAACATTTTATATATATATATATATAGAGAGAGAGAGAGAGAGAGAGTAAATGGTTAATGATTAAAAATAATTTGTAGATCTGGGGTTGGATTTTATTTAGTAATACGGAAATTTAAATCAAATAGCAGCATTTACGGTTCATTCATATATTAATAAATGAATGCTGCTTTCATAGTTGGCATGTAAAGGAAAGGAAGATATGTATCATTTACCTATTTAGAAGGATATCTATTTGGAATTATCAAATTTCCTATTAAAAATGTAATGTAATCGAGCGCATAAGTATTTGATTATTCCAGTAACAAATTTGATTGCATTTGTGTTCATCAAAAATACTGTAATGCGTGTCCTATCCTTTAACTGTCGTGAATCTCATGTTGATGAGATACTTCTCTATGGAAGACATATATGGATAGAAGGAATGTTTACAACAAGTTCAAAATTGCAAAGAGACTACCAATGAAAAACGGATTTGAATTTCTTAGAATGGTTAGAGGTAATGTTCCAAAAGAGAGGATAGGAACTTCAAATATAATTGAATAAATGTTCCTTCATGAACACAGCTGCTGATGATCTCAGTTTAGAGGTAAGTCAAACACACTGATTGTTAAATTCCCTGCCTGCAAATTCTATCCAACAATCACCGAGTGAGTGAAGATTTCAATAGATCAGTGGGAAAGCTTGAAGGCTTTCAATATCTTTCTTATCAAATATACTTCAATGATTATCAAAAAATACGGCTTCTCTTTCACTGTATAATATCTCATCCAGAATCCGAAAATTCTGATAGCATCTTGGAAAAAAAAAATAAAACTTGCAATCCCCAATTTTTAAAAAAAAAAAATGATTTGATTTGGATGAAAAACCTGGCTTACCTCTAAACCGAGGTCATTCCAGTTGATACCACGAATTTGTACTGGTTCATAACATTGCGATGATTTGGGTCTAAAGTTTTCCGTTGGAATATTACAAAATCTCGTAGATGACAATCGTATGGCCGTGGACATCCATCTAATTCTATAATCGGCATCATATCTCCAAAACTCATGGATTTTACAACATGAAGCTGGTTATAGGATAGGTTGACCACTTCCAATTTGGGCAATAATAAATCATAGCCAGCAAGGTAGCGAATTTTATTATGTGAGAGGTCAAGCTGAGTCAACTGTTGTAAGGAGTAGAGTAATGGAACAGCCACGAAATCATTATGGGAAATAATTAAATTTCGAATGAAAAAATGGGAATCATTCTTGAATTTAAGAGTTTTAAGCAGATTGTATAACAAATCAAGTCTCCCTAAATTTATCGCGAAAATGGAAGCTCCCAATGAAATATCCGATAGATTGCAGAAATTCATCATGACCGTCACAATTTCTGTACTATTTAGTGATAATAAATGTTTTATCACAGAATTTGAGATTCTAAGAATCATGATTCCAGATGGAATCGGTGAGATGTTTTGAAATGTGACGTTAATGCATTCATATACACATCGATTACTTTGTGTATCCTGTCTACAACTATTTCCGTTATTAGAAACATTACTAATAATATCGCTTCCTATTAGGACTGCCATGACACAGGATAGCGACAGAAGAACGTAGTAATAAGAACAAAATAGAAATGAAGGATTAAATTTCCAAAATATTAGCATCAGCAGAGGAAAATGAAAAAGTGAAGGCTGTAATGCTGCACCAAAGTAACCACTTCCAGAAAATTAAATTAAAACGAAATATAGCAAAAATTTTGAAATTCGAGGCAACCAATGGATGATTCGTACTTCTAATTAAGAATTTTTATTTTGGAGGCAATTCTCTTCAATTCTCTAGTGAATCTGATAATGGGAAATGCCTTGAAAATCCACAAATATATAAGTTTCAGAAGGACGTAATCATCCTTAATCCTTTCAAGCAGAAATAATGAAAGCACGACGGAAGCAATTATCGGTTGACAGCAGAAGTTGTCATAATCATTATCACCATTATCATCATTATTTTGACCGTGTAGTTGCTATTCAATTTAATAAGTCTGGAGAGTCCATCAGGTATTTCTAATGGAACTAATGATAATTTATTAAGAGCTAGTCTATACCAGCTCTGTGAAGAAAAGATTCGTCCACTTCACAACTTATTATAACAATTTCCTATTCATCGTTGCTTTGAGAGATAAAGTGAATATCAATAATTATAATTTTTGCGCTGGAACTGCCCACATTGCTCCATTCGATGGTCACAGGTTGCCAGTAAGCTGAAGAAACAGAAGGCAAATAAGCTTTGAATGTATTTCCCAAACTATTCTGCATTTTTGGTCAACTTTGTTTTTCCACTTCCTCTGTTTTTATTTGTAATAATGAATAATGTATAAGCACATCATATTTCCTTCCTGCTTGACGACTTTCTTTTGGTACATGCAGTACTTTCACTTTCTCGAAATACCCTCGGGTCGTACCTCAATTACATCCACAGAACTCGACTTATGTAATGTCATCATGAAAAAAAAAAGTGTACATAAGGCCGGATGAGATTTCAATCAATGTGTTTCAAACAAGAGATTACTGGATCTGGTTGCATTACGGATGAATAATAGAGGTACTTAGCAGATAGCATTTAAATATGAGTCTAGAAATTGGCATTTGAGTTTTTTTTTTTTTCTTTTTTTTTTTTGAAAGGAAGAAGTTATTTAACTGCCAAACTCTCATATTAGATTCGTGAACGAATGGATCACTATTTTAGAGAAATGACATATCGTACGCCAAATCTATCGAAGAAATGATCCGCGTTTGCTCTTGAGAAATGTGAGTGTTTCTAAAAGCAGAAGAAATTAGATTTTTTGAAATCATAAAAAAACACAAGTCTGCAAAGAAATGTTTGAAAGACAAAAAGTAAGATCGAGAGCAACCGCAGGAACGGTTTCATCACCATCCGGAAGCGTTTGTCACTAAAGCTCCTCGCTGTTTTTATGGGAAAGATGTCCAACAAACTGAAAAGGTAAGATTGAAATCAATAGTGCACAAATAAATCATTAATGGTTTATAAATAGAACAGTCTCGAAGAAAATCTTCAATGGTATCCTTTTTCTTCATAAATAAAAGTAAACAAAAATGAGTGAAAAATGAATGCTTCGGCGTCTAAGGTTATATTAGCATTAGCCTTACCACCTCACCTTACAACAAACGAGGGGATAAAAGGAAGTCAACAGAGATATTGATTTGACAAAAAAAATTATGTATTTGGGACATGGCATGAAATATGGGAACAGCCGAAGTTTCTAACCAGAATAAGTTCCATCAGTTCTAAAATCTGATCTAAATTCGATGTATGTGTAATCTAACTCATGTCTTACTAATTTTATTTCTGCAATAGTGAAATCGACGAAGGTAAAGAAAAAGAAAGCGATTGACATGGAAGGATTCCCAACGGAAAGTGTTCAAAGAACAGCGATAAAAGCGAATTCAAACATTCACCAGATAAGTGAAATATGATCAGCAAGCCAAGATATCCGTTCGGAAAACAGAGTAATCAGAGCTATGGGTGAATAGATAACCCCGTTATTCACTAAAATTTAAGGAATAGAGGAAGTCGCAAAGCAGCAAGACAGTGTGAGAAAATTCCAATACCACCAGACATAAAACCTTATCTGGTTAAAACTCAGCAAACGCGCGACCTTAATGTTCCAAATGCTCATGAGACAGACTAAGAGATGAAGGATGATCTCAACATCCTTCACAATCTGATTTTAAATTAAGAAACAAAACTGTTAGTCTCATACCACGTAATTACTGGTCACGTTAAAATAATGTTGACAAGTCCTTCTCAAAATATTTTATTGGTAAACACTTTTTTCCAAGTATCTCAATATCTTCCAATCATTATCCTTGTCTTTTCACTATAATGATAATAACATAGTAATATAACGTAATGATAAATATAATAAATAATGCTAATAACATAATAATCAATAATAAGCAGTCTTGCTATCAAGTTCCTTTTTACAGCAGTTGCACTGCTTTACTCTCTGACAGATATTCTTTTTACTGTAAATACTTCTGTACACAATCTTCAAAAATAATAAGATACAATCCTCATGACACAAATAACATTAACAATAGAGGAGAAAGTTCATCAAATATAATCAGTCTTTGGCTTTAAAACAATCGAACCACGCATGAGTTAACAAATTTATGAAGCCGAAATTAAAACTGCTTTAGAAATTTTGGTATCTGAACAGTATACCATATAACGTACTCACATGCTGCACGTTTGCGCTATCAAATTTGCAAATCTTCCCAATGACAGGGCAATCATACCCATTATACTAGGAGTTTCTGAAATGCTGCAGTTGCCATGACGATTTTATTTGTAGGTAACTCGATACATTATATCTTACGATATTTCACCATAACCTCTGTCTGTATCATGGCTTGGAAACGTTTTCTGTTAATCTAACAAAAAACTTCATAAATCCATACTAAAAGCATATAGACTCGGAGGGGAATAACCAGAAAAGAGAAAGACAAACCGAAAAGAAAATCGTCACGTCAATTTACTTGCTTTTGAAATCCGCAAGTCTCGAGGAAGAGATCCATGAAAGTTGTGAAGTCAGTGCCACTGCCGCGGAACAAACTGAGGGTGTTTAGATCTCAACAGCAAATATGTTCTTACTAAATCTGCTAAAGTAAATAATAAATCTTAGCAACATAAAAATTTCCCAGATATTCTACAGCATTATCCTAAGGTTGAATAGGACACGTTAATAATATGTTCTGATATATTAATAAGCAAGAATAGTTTGAAACTCCGCCTTATATATCAAAGGGTGATTAAATTAAAAGGTACAAGAGTTTGCAAACTGACTTGCGTCCAACCCGTCTTCATTAATCAAAACACTTTTCACCGCAAGTTCAATTATCACAACTTTTTGTCCATAGTACATATTTTGATCCGGCTCAATAATTTCAGAGTTAATTTATTGAAGTTTGCAGTAAATATAATAATAATAAACTATTCAACACTGAAGGAACCCGTTCAAAAATTATTGTCCATGCTTTTTTGTAATAGATTTTGTGGTACCTGCAAATTTACAATCCATAAATTAAACGAATTTTTAAAGACAAGTAAAACATAAATAACAAAATCCAATTTGTCTAGAAAGACAAACTCTTGGAATTTATCTTTCTCATATCCCCTTGCTCTTTCTTAAAAAACCAGAAACCACTGTATACAGTTTCAATCTCTATAAGCTATAATTTTCAGCTATATCTTGTTGATACTCGTTTGAAAAACATGAAAAATACATAATTATACAAGGCAAAACTCACTTCAAGACATTTTTGTGTGTAAAATAATGATGCTAGAAAATTCGATGACGCCACCTGTTTCTCGAAATTTGCTGCCGCTCGATCTCTTTCCCACGGTGCTCTGAAAAATAGGCTTTTCATTTCCTCATTCTCCGAAATATCATTTTCCGGATTTACGAATAAGGAGTATATACCTCAAAAGCTTTAAGCAAGCCTATAAACATGACTATTACTCCAAGGTACTAGTAGTCTAATGAAAAGCCAAAGTGAATAAGACAGTTTATTGACTGCTGTTGCAAGTTCATTTTGACAGATTTTGTATAGTGTGCCACCACTCCGTTAGATAACACAGTGCTAGCAGCGAAACAAATTCACCTATCCTCAGTCTTAGCAAATTTGTTTCAAATCAAACAAAAAATCTACTCGAACTTAGGACAAAGTTTATACCCCCTTACTCAAAATGTCTACATTAACTTTGTTACGAAGTTCACGACACCAAAAATTTTCTAATCAGGGTATGAAAAGATCTGAATTTTCAGTCCACAAGGATACAATCATATACATTATCGTAGTACGATACCGCAACATTCCCTTTTTACTTTCTATTTCTAAGTTAAACATTTGTTCGTTTGGATTTGTCAGTACAGTTAGATTTTGATCTTAAAACTGGACTGAACCAGAACAAGACTGACAAAAAATCTGGAGAAACCACCAAAATACTAAGTACCATGTTCCAAAAAATTGAAAAACTTACACAGCATCTAGATTTTTGGTTAATCCGCGTGTGAAATGTTTTGTTGTACTGATATGTAACACTAATTCATCAAGTGTATCAAATCGCTGAGCACATTTTAGACAAGTGAAAATATTACTAGTGATACTGCTAGGAACACATTTACTGGACGTTGCTGGCACCGGTAATTTTGCCGTACCAATTCGATGTACCAGTTGTGACAATTCACCTAAAGCATCTGCTGCTGATGCTTTCGTTGAATCTGAAATAATTTATCACATCTTTCAGAATCTACATGGCTGCAGAACACAAAAAACCTTTGTTTGCATGCGGCTCCCAACATACAGTTTTAGACTGCATTTAATCCACCTGGGCTATTTAAAAAATTGTCAGCAAATTATTAGTCATGCCGAGTTGTTAAGAAATTTTTGGATTTCCTGAAACGCTCCTTTTGCACTGAAATACAAGTAAATGTACTGAAGTATTATAATAAACAAAGTCCAAAGTTGTTCAGCAAAAGAACTGATTTCCTTTTCCTGTTTATGAAGGATTTCCAATACGCTTCCTTCACAATAACTGGGCCTACACCGTTTTTCCAAGGCTTGCGACATCATTCGAAATGTCAGAAAGATGGCTCAAAGTTTCTAAGTTATCTGTTCTAACTCCCTTCATTGCACTGTGACGTATGATTAAACTTCCTGTAGTTCACAATTTGTTCAAGATTATAATGCAATACTAAGGGCAAATGTACCGTATCCAAAGCGTAATTTCATCGAATTAGCATTGCTGCGCGATTGCGTCAAAGCATATCTTGTCGACGTGGAAGGCCTACTGCTTCTGTAAAGCCCAAAAGTTGAACATCCCGCCTCACTGTTTGCTCGCACGCATCGCTCCAAACGTTTCAAAGGTGATTCTGAATCCGTTGACGCGGTAGATCCGTCGGCTCGAGAAAAACTCGTGGATGGAATATCAAATAAATTGCTCTGTGTGGAATTCCTATTAGCAGTGAACACAGAAAAGGACTTGTGGTAGTCATTGATATCAGAAATGATGGGAACTGGATAGCTTGCAGGAATGGGGGAGCTGTATCCATTGAGGGATCCGTAATGGGCAAACTGCGATCTGGAAAATCGCGTGCACTCCCCGACACTACAGCATCTCTCAAAATCATCCGGCTCATACTTTGGAACTTTCAAGAGAGAAGTATCATCATGGAAGATACCTGCCGCGTCTTGCATGGCAGAAGCACAAAAAGGACTTTCGACCGAGTCGTCCGGTTCCTCTGTTGCTGAGATGATTGTGTTGTGAACAAGAGGGGAGGATGACGGAGAACGCCATACCGCAGAAAGCAGCTCTCGGGAGTACCCTACTGAGCCATCTTCCTCCGGAAATGCTCCACTGGAAAGCCGTTTCGCGGGCCTCGCCTGCTTCTTCCTCATTTGTCCATGCCAGGAGATCTATCTATATCACTAATGACGATGATTCCCATGGTTAGTCAGGGAGGATCCTTTCCCTTGCCTCTTTACACCCTCTCCCCCGTAATGCCTCCCGAATCCTTTCCCCGCCTGCTCTCATCAGAATTCCATATGGCACCCTGATCCCTCCCCGTTTCTCCTTTTCCTCCTTACTCTCCCTCCAGAGAAACGGAGAAGGGAGCTGTCTGACCGCCTGCCACTCCACCCAGCCCAATATGATTGATTGATTGATGGCAACCGACACCACGCCGACGCATTCCCTTCTTTCAATCCCATCCACTGCCTCATGGCGGTCTCGACGGGAAACCTTGTCGTCGGTGTTTTTGAGAGGTATGTCGAATAACAAATGTCGTGTACGTAATTAAATCTGGTCTTTTACAGGCTGTCTGGATGTCAAACAACAGAGCAAGACGAGCACAACATGGCGGATCTGTTCAGGACAATGCGGTAACTTATTTTAGTCAGGATAATGCGTGCATGAAAGATCCTAGCAGGAATGCATATTTCTTGGGGAAACTATAATGCGTGTAATACGTTGACAGAGAATTGTAATATGTAGACGAAATGGAAGAGAGAGAAGAATAGATGATGCATATTTTCGAATACTGTATAATTTTATACCCAACATGTTTGGGGGTGGAATTATGTTCGGAAGCATCATGTGAATGAAGTTCTTTTGTTTCCTGTCTTGTGTTTTAGTTGTTATATTCAGCCGATAATAGCAGGGAATACCCAGTTCTTCGCAGTTTGTATGATTTGTATTGTCGCTTATAGCCTAGTCAATTATAAAAATTACCGAGTGGTTATCAGCTGTTACTATTCATATTTTTATGTTTTGAAACAACCATATACCATGAATAGAAATACGTGTTGGTTGTCGAGGAAATAAGCCAGCCAAGTGATGTTGATAAAGAATAACTAACAATATTTTAAGCATTTGATGGCTGTCAGTACAATTTTTACCGCACTTGTGGCATGTCCTGTGAGATGTGAGATATATATCAAACATATTTCCATATTAAGTGAGATAATGTGATTTTCTTCTCTTGATAGAGCGCTTTACTGTTGAACATGATTCGAACATTGACAAGTAACTCCTCGGCAGACCAAAAAGAACTGGATCGTAGGCGTTTGGAAGCTGGATTTGCTGAAACTTCAAAAGAAATAGATCATCTGGTTCTTGGTAAGCAATAAAGAAGTGAATGTGCCAACTTTATGACAGTGACTTCCCCTTCATTTTTCCCCTTCATTTTTAGTTTTTGTATTCAAGAAAATCCGTAGATAGCATTCACGCAACTTTTTCAGTTTGGTTCATGAAATCACACTTCAGTAGTCTATTAAATTTTAAAAGATGTAAGAATTGATCAAAGGATAAAAATCTTCAGAGCACGAGAACGATGTTGGGACTTGTTTGGAGTCATTCAGAAATGTTTCCACTCGAATCACGGGTTGGTTCTCTTTTTTTTTAAAATTTAAATAAGCAACATTTTATTTAGACTCGTACATCAGGACAGCAGTCTTATACATAGATATACCCTTAAAATTCGTGATACATTTGTCTAATCTTTCAGCTTGCCGTGAAAAAGTACACAGCATACGTAGTAGTTTGCTCACATGTCGTTCCTTGCTGCAATGTAGGCGGGATGACTTAAAAAGACTTTGGATGGAAAATGCTCAACAAAAACACGTCAGCACAATTCTGGCTCAAATGTATTCTCATTTTCTAGTTCTGATGATATTTGAAATCGCATACGGGAACCACGAAATGTTGGTAAAAGCAAGGTGAAATGAGTCATCAACACAGTGTCTTGACTTGGTGAGAATCCAGTCAGGACAGAATGTTCAGTCACATATTAGCAAATGGGTAGAACGAAACAGTTTATATGTTAATATTGTGAATCTTCCTTGATAGGACTGTAGGAGATTTGTAGTTGTGTCAGCAATTAGAGTATTACAGAGTTTGAATGTATTGGAAAATTTACTGATCATTGGAGTATTTCACACGATTTATTTACAGAGAAGGATTGAATCGTTTAGGAAGTGAAGTTGAGGCAGCCATGTCCACTTTAAATTACCATTCAGCTGCAAATTCCTTAAATGAAGCAGGTTTATTTTTCGTTGTCCATGATTTCAGAAGGGACAGATTATTTTCGTTGTCAATGATTTCAGAAGCAACAGATTATTTTCGTTTTAACTGATGAGCCTTATGATGTAATATTCCAGATTTATTGTTCAATGGTCCGTTTTCAAACATTGATGGATTGAGTCAGTTACGTTCACAGTTGCTTGATTTGTCAAAAGTGAGTTAGAAAAAAACTTTTTTTCTGTCAAAATTTTCTCTATTCAAGTCTGTAATAATTTGTATTGAGCAGCTGTTGGTAAAAGTTTGATAGAAGCGCAGTTTTTCCACTTCATTGACTGCAACTTTATTCAAGCAAAAGATACGTTTCAATAAGTCTATGTTTAAAAATTTGTTTTTTCAAAATTTGTTCTTTACCTTACGTTACCTTATAATCCTAGGGTGTTTGCTTCAGAAACTTGTAGAACGGATTGTTAGTGACATCACAAATCATTTGATCGTTCGGCCGTTTGAAAAACATGTAAGTTTTAACATCTTATGATTGGGAGTGTAGAAGTGATTTTGATGTTGTACACTTAAAAATTGTGAGGAAGCAAAGTCTAATAATTACGATCTGTTTCGGTCACTATTCCCAACTCTTACAATAGCCTCTTTGCTCACAATCTAGGACTGTTTTCTTCTTTGTACATCAGTTTTAGACGGAATGATGCTTATGACTCCTGCTTAAATCTAAATCTTTAAAAGATGTCCGTCAAAAATTATGTGTAGATCAATAAGGAATTTATTGATAATGTCAGGAAAATAAGCATTATAACTTTTTGATGACGGTAAATGATATTCAGATTTCCTTTGGCTGCCACCTGCGTTTCTCTGAATAAGTTGCAGTTTTCAACTCCCATTTAACTTGTTTCCGTTCCCTTATTTATTTTTGAAAGTAACCCGTTTAAATCCGTTACACGTATTCATGGTGTTACTTTTAAGCTTGTTGAAATAATCAAGTCGCTGCCGGAAAATAAAGTTGCGGAATCAGCGGAATGCGTTGAAATTATGTCTCATTTTAATGTAAAAGAAAGCGTAACCTCGAATGGCACATATTCTGTAGCTGCCCGTTGTGCCGAAAATATTCACGCATTATGTGTATTCGGCAGACTGTCAATCACACTTCAACGCTTTTTGCAAAGTTCGTCGACAGTATTCATCCGTCTGATACATACATCGGCGAATGTAGTCTGTGTTGCGTTTGATGGAAATCAAAAAGGCGATGAACAAAATTTGGCTCAGTTTATGCAGTTGGTATTGTTTCCCTTGTTTCCTTGTTTAGGCTTTACCATATTCGAATTTGTTTTTTTTCATTTTTTGTTTTACGGAATTATCACTTTCAAAGATAAAACCTCTTTACTTGTGGCAAAAGATTTCTTGGTTTCTACTATATTACCATAAACGAAAAAGTTGGAGAGATTTGAGGTTTTTAGCAAAGCAGTGAAATAAATTAGAACTGAATTAAGACACCCTTCAGATATCTTTCAGACATCTATACCTTTCAGGTCCTTATAATTGTGGATCAGCTATCTACTTCAATTTTTTCCATATTTGCTAATTTTGCTCCAGATGTTCCTTCCTGTCCAAATAAAACAGTTCATATTTTCTGTTATACTAGTGGTTCGCAACCTTTTCTTGCCCATTTTGGCTTTTTTATTTGTAGCAGGAACCAAAGATATTCAAAAATAATAAATTCTGTTAATTTGAAAATAAGCTTTAAACCTAATGCATTAGTTTATCAAATATTGGCAAGGATAACCCCCACTTATTTTTTACTCAGCACGTGCCGCGGCCCCGGCGGACCATATTCTGGTTGGAAACTATATTTAACATTGGAAACTATATTTAGCAGTAATAGCAGCTATATTAAATGCATTCTTTGCACAGGTGCTAAGTCAGTTTCATAGTAGCTATGAAGCCCATCTTGTAATGGATGCTGAACTTAAAAAATTGCGGCGAAACGATTTGGGCGATGACGAACAAGTATCATCCTTGTCCGAAAATTTTTGGGAAACAGCACAGGCTATAATTGAAGATCTAGTGGATGAATATATCACAGAAAATGGCAATACTTCCAATTTAGTTATGCAAAAATCAAATATATCAGCTGCAGAAAAAGTTACCTTGTTCAGATTTGATGCTTCAGCTTGCGCACTTACTACTCAGTCCGGACAAACCATTAAGCAGGTCGGTTTCATTTCTCCAATTATCAAGATTTTCTTTAATGATTTGTAAACTACAAAAAAGAAATTGAATACAAGGAGATAGTTGAACTGAATTTTTATATATTTGCTTGCAGTAGTTAGTTTCGCATTCCCAATTTTTCGTTTTCCAGCTTCATTCTCTGATATGTCCGTCGTCACCGTGGAATATTACCGCTCTTTATCCACAACTTGAGCTTTTCTGCAATGAGCGTGAAACCGAAACAAATGCAAAACCCTGTCGTTTGCGTTCTTACTTACATTCATTCATTGTCAATGTTTTCATCGATCAGTTCAAAGGCAAACTTGAAGCTGTTGCTGAGCAAGCACTCAAGGAACAGGATGCTTGGCGTGTTCTTATGCATTACCCTAATCCAGTAAGTTTTTAACTTCACGTACTTCCAATTGAAACTGCTCAGTATAGATCATCCTCAAATGTTTTCATTTTTGAGTATATCTTTTTGTGCGTCGTGGATTCATTCTTTTGTCACTTTTTATTTGCAGAAAGTTTTGGGAAGCTGTTGGAATGTTTACTCAGTTTGTAACCAAATCGGAAAATTGATTCTTGCCATGGATAAATATACAGAAAGATTATCAGCATTGTGGTTGCTTGTTATTGATGAATTTTCGGATAGCGCTAATAATGTCTATGAAAAGATCTTGTCTTCCTGGAAGCCCACTTCAGAGGGAAAAGATTCTGTGGTAAGAATTATTCTCTTTATGCGCGACGAATTCCTTCTCTGACATATTTGGACTTTATACTTTGATTTAATAACGCCCAAATTGAATGAAACGTTTTGTAATACTGTTGTGCAGCGCACTCAAAATATTCTCCAAAAATATTTCAATATTTCATATGCATGTTGCTATCATATCATTAAGGTTTGCTTAGCAGTCTACCTTCCGATGACTCAAACTTTATTTTTTTTATTTGACACTTCAAGTCCTAACTTTGGATTTGAAAACTTGTGTGTGCAATAGAACCAGATGAAATTTTTACGTGACTGGTAGCGATGTTCAGGCTTCCAGTGTGAGCCATGACGATGGATATAAAGAAAAGCGTAAAATAAGTGCAGCATGGGCAGTGGACGAAGATATATCACGTCTCTTGAAGAGTTTACCAAACTGGTTCATGGTAAGCAACTATGAAGATAATTCAACTGCCTCGGTCAACACGCCTTCTGCAATTTCACCCACAAGTGAATCGGAAAGTGATATATGTTGCCGAAATGAAAGAGAATCTGAAATTTTCATAGGTAAATTTTCCTGTCCTTGTTGTGGTGGATTT